AAATTAAAATAAATCAGTCAAACACAGATTAAAACTATAAAGCAATCTTATATGAAAATACAGTGTCTCTCTGAAGCCATAGGTAGGATGTCAGAAGGGGCTGTCAGCTGAGCTGCAATTGACTTTATTTTCGTCTTAAGGTGAAGATTACATCAATGTTTTTTGGAAAGAAGCTCTCCTTTTGCTTTTCTATTCAGTATAACACTCAAGACATCTCGAGGAGCTGCATGCTGAGCTGGCACTGACGACATTAGCTAAATTTTTTATAAAATAGTTACTGAATCATCAATTATCCCCAAATTTTCCCTCTTCCCAAAACATAATGAAATAATAGTAAATCAGTAAAATAAGATGGACGGAGCAGTTTCAGATGACTACTTGACAGATTTTGTGTATTGTCAGACGTGGGACTCTGGGGGCTGCAGGCTGAGCTGCTGCTTGACCTCGTCTGGCTTATTTCAAGAAGACTAATTATCACCAGAGATCTCCTCCTTTCTGAAACAAACTAAAACAAAACTGAATATTTATAAGAAGAAATAATAATAAAAATAAGTAAAGCAGTCTAGACTAAAACTTAACTTTGATTTTTTGAGTAAATAAAATAACACTTGTTCAAAAATGAGGGTTTTTTTTTTTTTTTTTTTTGGGGGGGGGGATCTTTAGCATTCATCATCAGACACAGATTTGGGGAGGGGCTGTGACCTGGGCAGCTGCTGAAATGAACTGTTGATGGGGCTGCTAGCTGAGCTGCTTCTTTCCTATTCTGTGGTGTTGACGCTTCAGTCAACAGTTTTCTTACCCTTGCAGGCTAAAACTCTTTAACCATTGTTTTTGTACTCCAGGGTAAAATGAGATCATCTGTCCTTATTAAGAGATCAAACAATATTTCACGGCCCAAAGTGAGTGAATACTTCTGTATCAAAAACTGCAGACGAGCTTGTGATTTTTGCCCAGTTTAATTATAATTCCTTGCCGAAGATCATACCTGTATATTTGCCAAAAGTTCTTTTCGTAAATTAATCTGGACTCTCTCCAAATTGTAGAGGAATATTAGAGGAGCTCCAGCCCCTTTGACACTTTAATGACCCTGTCTTCTCCAGACTCCCTGGCTCTTTCTCAGACATCTCAATCACCTTCCCCTTAAAAAAAAAAATCATTTCAGATGAACACTCGCTGTGTGGCTCCTCTATCAGAAACAAAAAGGCAGCCTCTCCATCATCCAGCAAAACCATAAGCTTCCCTTTATCTTCCCTCCCTCATTAAACTCTGAATAACTCAGCAGAGAGGCAGAAAGGAGGAGAGAGAGAGAGAGAAGTGATTGAATTCTGCGGGAGGAATAAAAGCCCCTTGAGGTTGCCATTTTGAATGTATGCCATGTCGAGCAGGCTGCATCCAGGGATCAGCGAGACAACAGAGCAGGGAAGAATAGCTTATAGACAGAGCTCCAGGCCAGCTGACCCACTGTAGATAATGTACCATGGATGTCATGTCATTGTACTGCAAGGCCGGAGCCACGATGATGACCCGTCACGACCCCGAAAGAGAGGCCAGCAGAGGGAGAGGAAGGGGCTCTGAATGGGAGGTCAGAGGGAAATTGTGGCACCAGACTTGATATCTCTATTCAAAAGCTGCTCTGGCAACCTGGTCACTCTGAATGCAGCCCAATTATTTCAATCCTGGGAAGTGGAAGAGCGGAGAAAAGGGGAGCACAAAAAGAGAAAAATGGGTTTGACATTCAGGCCGGCCTGGCTGAGGGAGGTAACAAGTTCATGGCCCTTTTAGAAAACATGGCCGCCTGCTGTGTGATGGACGATGGAGCCTTAGATGGGCCATCAGGGGTGGGATCTGGGCAAGAACGCATGGGAACCCACTCTCCCAGGAAAAAGGGAGTCATCCTCCTGGTTAAATAAATGAACTCTGATAAAAGAAGCTCTAAAGGCTCTCTGAGCTGGCCCATATGGAGCAGCAATCCTGAGCCTGAAAAGAAATGACAAGGCTTATTCTCCCATACAACACCTCTGAGGCTGCAGGATTGATTCATTACATTTACATTCATTTATTCTTGGATTTTGGGTAATAGTGAGAAAATAGGTCCAAGCGACTGTTGCAAATGAACGTATTTGTGTTGAAAATGTAGACAGTAATATTGACACAATCTTCCAGAACACTAACATAACTGACAAGACAACCGTTTAAGCTTTTTGGAAATTTGGCTTAGAGCAAAAAAAATAAAAAAATGCTGCTAAACTTGAGAGCATTAAAGATTTGTCTTCAGGAATAACTCAGGAATAAAGCTGCTTTAGGATACAGAGTTTAAAAGGAAAACAGCTTATTTCGAATTTACACACATTTACACTCTGCAGAAGCTCAAATCTGAGCAAGGTTTGTCTTACTTTAATTTGAAAAGTGTCTTATTAGGCATTAATAAAGCCATACTCACCTCATAAGTTATTTATTTTAATAAAAGAAAAAAACTTAATTGCATGTAAAAAAAAAAAAAAAAAAAAAAACAGACAATCTTCCAATCGAAGAAAGGAAAAAATCATCACGTTCTTAAAAGAAGACATTTTTAGTTCGAGAACTTGAACTCTTATTCCAAGAAACTTGAAAAGTTCCTCTTTCTTGTTCAATTTGTAGATATTATCTTACATATTAAAAATAATCCACTTCTTTTTCTTGCAATGAGTTTTTTTTCTCCTCGGACTTGTTGGTTGAGTGTGGCTTAAATAAACCTTGTAAGATACTTTTTGCTTAAAGTGAGACAAAAACGAAAAGATTATTTGCAGTGAGGAGAGGTTTTAGAAGTATTGCCTATCACATTTTGATCCATTTTACTCACTTAAACTGGCACCTGCCTGACACTGGATACAGAAAAGCAACCACAGATCATCAGTATAGTTGGGTTTGTGGGGAATGAGAGTCAGCGTTGAGCAGAAAATAGTCCAAAAATATGAGAAATGAAAGGTTTTGTCATGCTTGAAGGTTTTGACATGCAACTTTTGTCATCCTCACAGCTCTGAATCTCGTTCTTCATTGCAAATGCTCTGAACTCCATGCTCAGTACCTGACGCTAAATATGAATCATCATGGTCCCAACTCGAGTCCCCCTTACTGAAAATAGACAAACATATGGGAGACTCTGCACATGGCTGACAATACTTATACATAATTCGGCACAGAGACTAGCTCTGAGTCGCTGAATATCCTTCTGTTACTGTCATGTTAGAGGAAACCATCCAGTGTTATATCCTACGAAATATAAAATCAGTGTCAGAAAAGTTCATCCAAACTTAAGGATGCTGTTTCATATCTGGTTTGAAACTTTGTTCTTTTATTTCTGCACATTTGAATCAAGTCTAAATTATGAGGCTTGTTTCGATTTGGATTGATGACCGCTGGAGTGAATTTAATATAATCTGAATGGGGAAATTAGCTCTAAAAACATGCCTTCAAAAATTGTAAAGCTTTAGAAATGTTGCATCATGCACTTACCTAACTCTGACTAATCTTTACTTTATTAAATTTACCATGTCCATCAAACGTAAAGCTTTTAGTTGTATCCCAGTTATTTTCTCTTATTACAGAGACTGAAAAGACTCCATTTGCTGACTGAATGTAATCCACTGTTTTTCTTGTCTTTTTCTTCTAGTGCATTTGGGATATGATTTTGCTTTAGGAAGGACATGAAAAGATTTAGAAAAAAAAACGTAGGCAAAACAAGCCTCAATGTAATCACTTTATTTTATTTGGGTGAAGGAAAAGAAATCACCCAAGGATGCTGAACAAAGCAGCTGAGCTCCCGCTGAAATACTGGATCTATTTTTTATGTAGCAGGTCATACATGTTTTTCTAAAAGACCAAAGAACAGACTCACTTGTGGTGTAATTGTAAGACAAGGATGTCAGTGCCACTTTCTTTAAGAAAACATTTTTCATTTTCCTTGAACAATTTTACCAAAAAAAAGTTCAAAAAAAGTCCTTCATAATTGACGACAAATCATGAAAGCAGTTTCTTTCATCTCGCCTGAATCACAAATTCACTTTACTCTCTAAAGACAAGTTTAATTCAGCTGAAGAGGCTCTGCAAAGAAACTCTGCTCTTTCTCTAAGATATAAAAGACTAAGACAGAAACCAAAAGAGTGTAGGACAGTTTTCTAAACAGGAGAGTCAGGAGTGTGTGAGAGGATGAGAAGCTGGTATGAGAGACATGACGACAACTGAAAGAGCTTATATAAACATTTTGAAGTCTTAACGCTGAGAAGGGAAGAGGCAGGAGCGTCATACCGAAGGCGTCATAGTGAGAAAATATTTATTTTATCTCTCTATAAAACTAGATAGTCAACTAGGTGAAGGTGAACAACAGGGATCAATTAAAACATGTCATAATGATAGTTATGAATGAGTGATTGCAGCTTCAAAAATGTCACTTTTGATCAAGTTTTTCAAAAATCTTTGAGTGTGTTTTTTCTAGCCTTTTGAATGATTGATATATGTATACATTGGTGGTCCACTAAATCACAATTTTTTATGCCATATTTTGCAGTTATAAAGTTAATCTAAATCAACAAAAATATTCAGAATTTCTTTAATTAAAACAGTCAGAAACAGTCAGTTTTTGCATGAATAAAAATATGCACTGTTTACAGCCAATGTTTAAAAGTATGGACGTATTGTTGAAGTAAAGGGCAAAAAATGCAACAAACGTGATAACTATCACAGTACTTCTATTATTCATATACATACTATTTTACTACTACTACTACTACTACAATACTTCTGATTCGAATAATAAAAATGATAAGAATACTACTACTTATAATAATAATATTAATAATAATAACAATAATAATAAATCTGATCTCCTTTCCCCTACAGTGCTCTATCATGGTGGTGTGCCCCACTTTAACAGCCTAAGGAATAATAAACCTGTCAACAACCAGTCTCCTGGGAGGCCTCTGCTGACACTCGGCTGTCACTAGCAAAGCATGCTGGGATAGCTAATGGGACAGGCCCCCGGGGCTGCCTTGGATGAAGGATGGTCCCAGACAGGTGAGCTGTGTGACATGTGAAATGGATCATAATCTCACTGGTTTTGTTTGTGTCAAATCAAGAACTCGCCTCTGCTTTTAGGACGATCAAAATGTCCCAATTGGATCATGTAAATCCGATCTGATTCAGTTCAATGATCAGACTGGATTTATGGGATTTAAGGTAAACCCACGGCTGCATTAGCAGAAGAGAATGCATCAAGTAACAAAACATTGCTGAGCGCAGGATTGTATAAACTAAAAACGTGAAAGGATGAATGACAGACAGACAGAGGAAATCAAGCAGGAAAACACTGTTAGAATCAAAAACCAGCCCAACTAACTACAAAAGTCTGCATCCTCTCTTTAAATCATCACCATTCAAAAGTCCATTCACTAAACTCCAAATTTCACTCTCTCTGTCTACCTCTGCAAGAATCATCCTCCACACGTGAGCGCCATCCTACCGTACGTCTCTGTGATTTCACCTTCCCTGCAACCACGTGGCCACCGCGTTCAGTGAGTTTTTTCTTCCCTGAACACGTGTGAACACGCATGTGAACATCTGAGCTGATCAACTAAACTGTTCCCATATGTAGCCCTGAGGGGAGCAGCAGCTGGAGTTTCACTGCTCTCTCTGCAGGCTTTGGGTGACACCGGGCGCAGGGTGCTGACAGGCTGTAATTCAGGCTGTCCGCTCACCAAAAATCCCCCAGATTATTTAAAAAAATTCAGATTGCAAGCAGATTTTAAAAGGTGTGTTTGTGCGCTGAAGGAAGAAAGGAGTTTGAAAGCAGGTTTAAAATCAGGTAGCAGAGAAAGAGTGAGCAGTAGTTTGGTGTTTCCTGAGCACTGACCTGCACACACAGCAAACACAGCACCCGTCAGCCTCTCATCTTCTTTCTCTTCTCACATTTCACACTCCAGCTCCTTCCTCTCTGCCTTTTGAAGTTGGTCCCTCCGTTATTTCAGAGGAAAAAGTCCTTTGCAGAGGAGGGACTGTGTTGGAGGAGGAGGGAGAAGTCTTCCTCTCTTGCTTTTCTTTCCTCTCTTTCTTCTTTTTCTTCTTCTTCTTCTTCTTCTTCTTTACTTCCCTCTTGTTCTATTATGCACCAGCTGAAATCTGCACCTCCTCCTGCTCTTCCACAGCAAAAAATCTCCTCACACACTCACGGTTGAGAGAGAGGAGGAGAAAAATAACACTGCGAGGAAGAGAGAGAGCCTGCTCAGTCACCTCATCCCCCTCCTGTTCAAATTTTGCTGGATCTCGGGCTGCAAGGCGAACTCTACTGGGCATGCCCACAACCGAAAGGCACACTTTGTAATGCTCACTTCCTCTCTTGTTCTTGCCTTCTCCCCCTCTTCCTCCCTCCTCCCTCACAGCCCTCCCCTCTCTCTCCCCTCTCTCCCTACAGCTCCCACTTCAGTGGGGGAGCAGGAATGCTGTTCGGACCAAAGTCCAACCGGCTGCAAGACAAAAGCAAAAAATGCACAACAAACTAAAATGAAAAGTCTAAAACACGACTCTGTTAAAAAGAAAAAAAAAAACATATGAAGGATAATTTACTCTAACTGTCATAAACGGCAATTTTGCCAAGCAACTACTTAATCCAAATCCCAGTAATTCAATCACATGAACTTATGATGGCTGTCTAGACGTCAGTGATGTAATATTTAATCCAAAACTAACGGACATGCTGCTCAAAACAGCGCAGAAATCTGGCATCCCTTTGAACACTGCTCAACTCTTACTTTGACTTTTTTTTACCCTCCAGCAGATGAAATAAAAATCTCATTTTTTACTAAATTAACCTGACCTGTGTATATGTATTAAATATTTAGATAAAACTCAAGATCATTAAAGAAACTGTTTAATATTTTACTGCTTGGACACAGAGTTAAAGATAGGATGATAGTTCCATTAAAATCAGTGTATTACCTGCTTTATTTTGACTCTGTTTCTGGTACTTTTTTTATGTAATTTAATAATTAAAAAAAATTCTACTTTTGATGCCATCAAAGCTTACCCTTAAATCAGATTGTTTTCTAGCACATCAATAAATTACTTTCTATTTTGTTTCTATTTTTGTCATTTTACACCATACAGATTACATGGGTTTTTGATTAGATTAGATCAGATTAGATATAATTTAGATTTTTTTGGGAAGGTTCCCTCAAGGAAATTAAAAGCATGTCTATTATGAGATTTTAGATTTTGTTACACAAAAATCAACTGACCTAAATAATTTAACATACCTGCGTTTTTTTTACATTTTGAGATTATCAGTTTATTTCCTGATGTTAATTGTCATTGTTTTTGATGCTACTATCTAACATTACACCATTATTTATATATTTGTTAATACTTTAATTGATCAGCACAAATTCCCAAATAATGATAATTATTATAATTATTATTACAATTATAATCATTATTATTATTATTATTACAAAGTGCTGTTGAGGTCCAAAATCACCCCTTCTCCTTCTTTATAATCGTGAGCTGTTTTGACCCCTTTAGCTCACCATAGTTTAGCCACTGCAGTGTCTTTCTGCTTCCTGCTGCACTATGATGGAAAGTAACGACACCATTGATCTTTAGATGGCACATTTAAAATTAATAACCCATGGACAGCTCAGTAAACAAGTCAAAAGTTATTTGCATTTTTTATCAAATAAGTGAAATCATCATCAAAGTACCGCTAGTTGAGCTACTACCGAAGAGCTGATTGGCTCCCAGTGCAGCCATCAGCTTACAGTGGCTTATAAACTTTGACAATAAAATGCATAATTACAAGAAACAGAGGAAGGAAAAATTACACTGGCTTTCTTGAATAAAAAAAATTTTAAGAGGAGAATAAAGAGGTTGGATTAGCATGCCAAATTTCAGCAGGTCAGTCACTCCAGTTTGGTACAACCTAAGCTGTCGAACCCTGATAGTCCTCAGTCATCAAACAGCCTTTGGGACCCATATCAGCTGATCTGAGTGGAACACACACAGAGTTTGAAGGTCACTGGTACAATCGAGGCAATAAAAGTTAGATTCAAAATTGTACAATCAAGTAGAGGCCAGGACTGAGGTTATGGATCAGTTTTTTCAGACCAGTAGAAAGCTAGGAGCAGAGTTACTGTCGTACGATCAAGAAGACAAGTGCACAGTGTTAATTTTCTCCTGCAGAAACATCCGTCAGCTCTGCAATGTGTGGAATTTTGTGTTTTTTAAAGCCGCAGAGCACTTTTGTTTTCTCTATTCGATGTATGACGTATTGCTTTAGCGCGTCAGCCCCGTGCCTGTGCTATCTCAGGCTCCCCCACGCTGACCCAGATTCTCCCTGCAAAATATCGGGACACTTTGTGTTACAAGCAGGCAGAAGACTGAGAGGAGAGCAGTGAGTTCACTTCCACACAGACAGACAGACTGACAGACAGAGGAGAAACAGGCAGATACTCGTAAAGTCTTACCCCGGGAAACTCAGTGTCTCCAGTGAGCTGAAATAAAAGAAAAATCCAATATTTGGAGAGATATAAAGCTGCTGATTTAAAGCTTGGAGGAAATATGATAAGTCTTCAAAAAAAGAGTCTCTCTCAAGCAGCTGCAGAAGACTCTTTCATATCTGATCCTGTTCTAGCTGATCTAAAATCAAAACAACACAACCAGAGCCACCATTGTTTTTGCAGCTTAAAGCCCAGACATCCCTACTTTGGTCATCACGTTGTCTTTTATTGAGATGCCATGATGAATTTTTTACACTTTTGCTGGCTCAGTTTTTGTGACATGTGGAGTAAAAAGCCACAAGAGATCATTGCTCGCATGATCTATATTTGTCTGATCCAAATAGAACTTTTAATGCCATGTAAAGAACCCACTTTTTTCTACAGCTGTACACATTTGGGGGATATGATGCATTTTGAAATACTCAAATGGCAACGTAACAAGGAGAAATACCAATGTCGGGCTTTATTTCCTTTGCAGACAACACTTTGAGGGGGGCTTTTGAACTGCACTCAAAAATATAACTTCAAACAGATCATCTCTCAAGTTGTTGAAAAAATAATTTACTTAGGTTCACACATTTGGGGTTTTTATAATTAAAATGTTTTGTTATTTTCATTAAAGCTCCTGTGAGGAGATTTTGGCAGGTTATGAAACTGACTGAAACATCTTTTCTTATTACCTTGTGTAGAAAAAGTGGCTATGGGGTTATTTTCAACGTGTGACTGCACTGGCAGGGGAAAACAAACTTACAACCCTTTTATCTCACGCTGCTCCCCAAAAACACTCGATGACTGATGTGTTTGCCCCCCCAAAAGAGAGCAGAAGGAAACTTTCATTAAGAAGTGCAAATTGTGCCTTAAAAATTGAGTTATTTCATATTTTCTTATTCTTTGGAAACCAATAGACATTGTTTAAGCTGGGTTTTTTAATGCCTCTTTTGACTATATATCTTGAAAAACAAAATGTTCTATCCACACAGTCTAAGCTGGCTGGGTTCTACAGGGATCTATCTGTGAGCCAATCAGTGCTTGACTTGAGCATAAGAGGACCAATCAGGTTCTGCTTCTTTGTGATGTCACTGCACTGCTCACTGAGGGCGGGAAAGGGGACAGAGCAGACAAAGAAGCAAAAATGTCACATTACTTGAGGTAAATGAGAGACCTGACAGTGTTTATTGATGGGCTCATGATTCGGGGATTCAGATGTTGGAAAAGTCGTTTTAAAAAAAGGTTCAGGTCCGTCTCAAAGGTTAATTAGCTGCTATACCAGCCTTAAACCACCAGCGTGCTAATGTTAGTCTGCCATTTTGTACTAACATACAGAGTGAACCACAAAAGGGAGTTTTTTAATCATAATCTCACAATATTTCTCATTATTAAATTGTTTATAATTGTGGAAGAACTGAATATATTAAGCTTGTAAGTAGCTGTGTTAGCATTTTGTCAGTGTGTTACAAAGGAAGTAACAAACACTCCAGTGATAGCTTACTGTTATAAATGCAATAAACCTAAAACAAAACAAAACAAAACAAAACAAAAAAAACTGAGTATTTTACTGTATTCCTGCACAAAAAAATCTGTATGTTTTTACCATGATAAATATCCTTAAACTCTATGAGATAATACACACTTTTTTAACAAGTATATTCTTATATAAAAATGTCATTATGGGCAAGTTTTTTTTTTACTGGTTTAGACACAGACTTAAACTAAAATTGATGCCTTTCTTAAGACCTTCAAAAGCAAAAACGACCTTAAGCTGAAAATTTCTCAGGTGTATTATTTAATGTCTGAAAACACAGTGAGGGGGTCGATTTAAGACTGTATGGTTGACAACAGGCACAAAAAAACAGCTAGTTACTCTTTCAAGAGATGAGGATTTTGTCTGAAGACATGACTTTTATATGTTCAGGGCCTGCTTGTTTTCAACAACAGTGAGTCAAAACTTCACGATTTAACTAACTTCATTTGGCCCTGACTGAGTGTGAGATCTTTAGTCTTTTCTTGCTGGTGTTTTATGACCGCTCCTGCACCTGAATGATGTCCGTATAAGAACTAGAGATGGACCAAGTAATTGGTCAGCCCTTTAAGCAGACCAATTACTGGCACTTTAAATTAATCAGCACCACATTGGCGCTCACAAGGCCGATGCCACCATTATCTTTTCTACACGATGACACTTTTAAATTCTTCATCTATTTAACAGCTGTTAGCCAGCTTTTGATTTAATTCTGTAATAACGTGTAAAAAGTGAAATTTAATAATGCCAAATATCAGTCATGAAATCTACAGTGTGACCCAAAGTATTTTTCTATCTCATGAATAAATTAAAAGTCTAACATATGTTACTGGCTGAGATGATAATGTGCAAGAAATAATTCTTTTCTTTTATGTTTACCTTGTTTGTTTCTGTTTTAATTATCACAGATGGCTGGACAGAAATCCCAAAGTGTCTCACATCAGTAATTTGCTAAGCCAAATATTTTTCTGTCCACATTTATATTAAAAAAGTTAATCAACTTTGTTTCTCATTGGACAGTTTTGTTAAGTTCAAAATTATGTGTCTGTTGTTGAATTAAAAATGCAACATGTCAGTATCTTCATCAGCCAAACTGTTCTGTCATAGTTGGCATCAGCACTGATGGTTTCAAAAGCCCAACAAAGTGCCTCAGCATTAAGCCCAAATAGTCAGGTCAGATCATGTTTTTATTGCATAAGTCTAAACTGCTTTTCACCCTGCTCATAAAAGTAAGAGGATATTAAAGACTGAAAAATATTAGACTTCATAAAACCTTCAGAGTGCTGAAACAGCAGAAAGATTTTTTTTTCATGTGGTTAAATTTGCTGATCAAACATGAACTTTCAGGCATGACAGTCCTGATGTTATTGGTTTCCTGCCTTGGATAACCTTGTAGCCTCCGTCTCATAGATTATAGAGCTATGTCTTTTATTTACTCCAAAAAAACCTTATAATCATAAGCAAAACTGTGGCTGTGGAGGCTGCCAGACTTGCAAAGCTGAAAGAAGTAAATGAAAATCACAGAAGGCTGCGTGAATTCTCTCTGTTGAGTCAACATTGTAATCCTGTAGACATCCTGTGCAGAGAGTAATCCATCTGGGCCATCTGAAGGGTGGAGATAGGGGCCAGGTGGAGGAGGAGGTGGACGTCCAGACGGCTGCAGGATTGACCCCCAGAGGTCAGAGGTCATGGGAAACAGCGGGTCAACATAAAGCTGAGAGGTCAATGTCACGGCTTGATAAGCCAGAGCCGCATGTGTCCTGGTGGAGGGCAGCTGATGGAGTAATGGGGGAAGAGGGTCGGGGGGTTGAAAGTGTGACAGGATTAAAATTAAAAGCTACAAAGTAAAACAAAAAAGAACGTGGAGCCGGTAGAACCTGGATGAGTCAGTCTAATGGATGGACACTAAGGTCCAGAGTGTTGTCCAAGTGGGAATCCAGAGTTAAAACAAATCAGTTTCTACTCCTAAAGCACAAAGTGTCTCAAATATGGTCTGAACAGCTGTCGACAATCACCTACGGAGGATACTCATCACTCTTACAAGCATGAACATGAAACAGCATCAACAGTCTTCAAGACTATTTTAAGTTATTGGTTTTGGGAAGGATAAGCCTTGTAGCCCAGTTCAGCGCTCTCAGAGAAAACATTTAAAAAACTCAAATCAAATACTTGAGTATAAATTGATATTCGTTTTTAATTTTTTTCATCTACTTGCAGACTTTAATTCAGATTATAAATTTAAATTCTAAATCTGAAGGCTATCTAAACTAAGGTTTTTTAGAGGTCTTCAGCATAGACTGTATATAGAATGGTGCCGTCTGCCTCCCCGCTGGATGAAGCCACCGGGAGAACAGCACCCTCTGGTGACGGGCTGCAGTATGGTCATAAATCCCGCCTCCTCCAGCAATCCCTATGGAGTCGTGGACAAACTTTAGAAATTTATTACACAGAATATACATTTGTCTCCCCCCTGCTTGTGATGTTGACATGTAGTTATTGTAAGACTGGTTTGTGCTCAAGTCCTCTTTTCTCTGTGCAACTACATTTTTAAAGTTATAAGGGGTTCATGTTAGAGGTATACGCTGTTTGAGCAGAGTGTCATCACAGCGACTCTCCCACTGAATGCATACAACACTACTGCGCAAGTGGTGGTTCCAGGAAGTGGAGAAAATCCTGGAAATACAGAGAGCAATTCGGCATAAAATTCATATAATGACAGAAGGCAGAACTAAGTCCATAGTAAATTTTTTTGAGGACTCAGAAATCAGGCAACTGGACTGTGTAGAGTTGAGAAGACGTTTCGCCTCTTATCCAAGAAGCTTCTTCAGTTCATATTGCTAGTGTGAGGAGCAGATAATGTCTGTCTTGGTCGGGGTGGGGGGAAGGATATTAGAGGATCACAAACAAGAAAAATTGTCAAAATTAACTTGTATATTTTTACCTATGTGCTAGAGAACTGCTGTACTCTGAGGGGCAGCCTCCAGTGTCCGCTGGAGGAACTGCAGTTTTTGGTATTACCACATTAGCTACCCTTTTCAGCTCTGAAACTAAAAATGTTTCCTCTTTATGGCCCACCAAAGCATGCTACAACACAAGAACTTCATTTATCCCTAATGGGAAATTCATAAACTTGACCAGCAGTATAAAGCTTGCCTGTTTATTAACAGTTATTTTGATTACTGGAAAACAGCTGTACTGATTAACAGTGTGCTACAGAATTTGTCTTCATTTACACAGTAGAGATTCACAAGGACTGTTTAATTTTAAAAAATGATGAGAGGAGATTATTTTTGTCCTAAAGCACCTCATGCTCATGTACAAGATCAGCAAAGAGAGAAGAGATACTGCCTTGTCCACAGGGGGTGCTAGAATCAACCCAAATCCAAAGTTCATCCCAGGAGCTTTGGGAAACTATCAATTTTTAAGAGCCATCAAGACCTCTTCCTAACATGCTTTTCTTGAATGCTCTATCTTTAAGGTGTCTTTTACAGTTGCATTGTGATTATTCATAAGAAAAGAGTCAAAGGCGCTGCTCTTCAGGGCTCATTTATGCTCCACAGAGACATATGTTTAAAACAGCATTGGTGGACTTTTTAGTGGACACTGACAGCAGGACATCCACTAACATCATCAATCTGAACAGGACTTTTTTCACTGTTTTTGATCAAACACAACAATCAAATTACCTGTCATACACTAACATTACAGACCGAATATTAGCAACATCTTGATTGTATAATTGGATAAATTGATTGGAAAAATCCCACTGGATAAGGATTATGATGATATGACAGTGAAGGAAATAATGTAATGAACATGAGAGCTAAAGATAATAAGTGACCATAAGACAGCCGCAGGTAACAGAGTATAAATAGCAACACGGTCTGTGCAGAATGCGAGACAGGCTGGTAAAGTAGGTTAAGCATTTTTTTACATTAATTTAGGACAACCTGTGAGATCATTTTTTTTTCACCTTATTGCACAAATTTGTCTGGAGTTTATTTTTTTACATTAAGGAAACGTCAAATATTCAAATTGATCGATTATCTTCTGTCAAAATCTCGTATCATGGCAGCAGTGTAGAGGATGAAAAGAGAAGTAAAGTGATGACCCAGCTTCGAAAATTTCTTCAACAATCGATCAACAACTTTGTTTGGTCTACACAAGAAAGGCTTTTATAATTTCCAAACATCATATTAATTTTGAAAATGTGAGAACATCTTGAGTAATGGGTAAGGAGATGCTGCAGCAGCTGGCAAAAAAGTGTTAAACAAAATCTTCCAAAATCACAACACAGGAAATTACTCAGGAAGAGAAAAAGGAAGTCTTTGTTTTAAACCCATCTGCTAAGACAGTCACATTAATATGGGTGTAAAAAGTTAGACAAGATCTCAAAAATACAGCCATGCTTAGACCCTGTAGGGATCTGTTGATTCTCTCAGCTCCAAAAAGATCAGGATGTGACCCAAGACTGTAGTTAAACTTGGACCAAACTGGCACCCAAATGTATGGATACTCCATTATACAGAAGTAGCTAATGTGCTGACCCAACTATCAGGGTTGAGGGGGTACTTGATTAGTACCCAACTGGGGTCCTCTGTCCCAAAAAAAGAGCTAACATAAAAAAAGTCCCATGTCCTTTTAAAGCCAAATTTTAAGTGTTTGAAAAACATTCCATTTGTTCATTTTAACATAATGCAGGGAAGTATTTTAGAGCACATCCCTCAAGAAAATAAAAAGGCTAATATTATATGTAAATTTGGAAAATAAGGGGCGCGGCTGAATTGACTGACAGGCGATGCAGTTGTCCAGGAGGCTAAAAGCCAGTCCTGAGCTCCACCTCTTTGAAGAACGTCTCTCCAAACATGATTCGACGATGACACTGAATCTATGTCCATGTTTTATAAAGACTATAAGCCCCATGGTAGCCACCATTCTGGAAAATCTGTCTCATTTTACCTCCTGATCAATATGAAAACAGACAAAACATGTGAGCAGGAGTAGGCTTTAAGAAGTAATGGTAATTTGGCGGCCTTGAGTGGAATTGTTTAAAATCAAAATAAGTCTGGTCCACTTATAACAGCTGCCATAGAGGATTCAATGAATCCCCCAGTGGTGAAAGCTGCCATCTTGTTTTTTTCTCCGATTATTGCAGTTCCAGACCCACATGCCAGAAAAAATGAATACGAGCCTGGTGATGAGCCTGGCAGTGGCAAGCTAGTAATTTGGATTAGATTGAGCATTTCAATCATCTGGGATAGTTTGGCCATTTCAATTAACTAGTTGAGTATATGCTGGATTTGGTTTTGCGTTGTCACCAGGGTTATGGGCACTCAGTCCATTTACACACACAGTTAAATCAAGATATGGTTATAGCTTGATTGAGTAATTTAATTGCACTTCTGTCCTTGTCTCAGTTTACAACACTGGGCAAGAACTAAATCACTAACAGAAGTGAGGCTGCATCCTCAATTCCAAGTGGTGATATGCCCCCTACCAACTTCTTACATCTGGACCAACTCCCAGCTGAAAGTGTCTGCCAGGCCGCTCTTCACAAAGTGTTTAAACATCATTCATCTCCATGAGGGACCATCAAACCCCCAGTTAACTCTGACTGAGCTTAACAAGAGATAATTGTTCATAAATCTGATTCTTCTGATCAGACAGCATCAGTGACTCTGCAGCCTCTTTTTACAAACTACAAAACAGACAAAGTGGTCTCGGCTGTGTCAAACCCATCTGAGCCTGCGGCGGCAAACCACACCAGCCCACTCCTCTTAGCTCAATACTGACTCATTAGCCCTCTCACCCGGGGTCTCTGAGGACTTGTGACCCTGGCTTTTGTCTGGCTTGGACCCATCCTGACGAGATCCCCCAGCCCTGCACAAAGCCTTGTCATTAACTCCGGCTTGGCTGCCCCTTTGGCCACAACCTGCAGCCCCAACAGACCGTCTGGGGGTCAGACAAACACGAGGCAGCGTTCATCAACCTCAACCCCCCTCAAACACCAGCAGCCTGCCCCTACCCACCCGCCTGATCTCTGAGGACGGCAGGGAGTGACGAGCCGTTAGCTAGCAGAAGACGAAGAGGTTCCATCCACCTGCTCCTCAGACACAGAGGTGTGTGTGTGTGTGTGTGTGTGTGTGTGTGTGTGTGTGTGTGTGTGTGTGTGTGTGTGTGTGTGTGTGTGTGTGTGTCTTGAGGGTTGAAGACAATAATGGTGACAAGTGAGTTGTTTGTTTTCTCAGTCAATAAACCAATAACAAGTAGCTGAAGAACACACAGGCATGTTGAACTTGCTAAGCAGTGTGCAGACTGTATTCTAATGGGGCGCTGACTCACATTCATTGTTTCTTTTGAACAAGGGAAAAATGACAAAGTAATCTCATATCTGATGTTTAAGAATTCATTTAGAAAAATGGTATTTATTGATAGGAAAATAAAACCAATCAAGATCAAATCAGACTTTTAAAAATGACCCAGGCCATGGTTTTCCTTTTGTTTTCATCAAGCTACTAAAACTTTTTATTTTTTCTGTTGCTGAAGAGGCCTGTCAAGAAAAAAAAAAGGAAAGAAAAAGAAAAAAATATATATACCATTAAGGGACCTTGAAGTCCTCAGTGTTATCTTTGGAAATGTTATGAGTTCCAAGGGTAGAGTGTCTACCCTTGAAAATAAATTAAACTGATTAATCTGTCTAAACTTTTCATTCAAATGAATAAGCCACAAAACTTTCAAATATATTTAAATACTTCTGAGCTTCTGTTTTAAAAGCCTTTGACAGGAAAAAGAGCCACTTCATCATCTGAGTTAGGTGTGAATTTTAAGAGCTCCCTCTGCAACTCTTGACAACAAACATTGATAAAACCATTCATGGATTTTGCAAAAGTATAGATCTGTTTCTGCCAGGAGTTGATAGATGCAATAAGCTCTCATATTGACAAAACACTCAAAGCACCATCAGTAAAAGATATCTCTGTGTGTTCTGTTTTGTTGTTTTACCTGCACAGTAGATTATGGCAGCTAACTACGCAGAGATGAGCTGTATTCATGCATGTTTTGATCACTGTAATAAGAGTTTGGATGAAGACTGAGCCACGGTTGCAGATAAAACATGCTGTGGGTGGTAAAGCTGCAGACTCTGAAAACGACTAGGACAGGAAAATGAGGCACAAGAGTCCTCTTCTGTGACGCTGCATGTCCCTTAAACAAATGGAGCACTAGCACAACCTATTGGAAGGGACAGATACTACAGCCAGACTGTGAAACAAATCACTGTTACAAATCCTGTGGTTGTCAAAGTGTCCATGTGAGGGAGAAACAGGGCTCTATGTCATGATTATTGTAAGCTGATTCATGACTCAATTTTACAAAGTATTTATGAGCTGGTTCTTACTGGGCTACATTATTGTCTTGCAAAGGAAAAGTGGACGTGAAGCAGAACTTTCTCCGTCTTAGGTGTTACATAATATTTTACCAGCACAAACCGACTGGGGGATTGAAAAATAACGTTAAGAAGCTGTCAAATAAATCCTCTTTCAGGACCAACAGCTCCTCCTGTCTCGGGGGGTTCATCATGGAGAATGGTTGAACTCGGTTGCACTTTTAATCTAATTTAAGTCTCTGCAAAGAAATTTCTCTGAGAAGGGTTCAGACATGCACAACCTGTTGCTTCTGAGTTTAAGGGGTTGAACTGAATCATAGCTTGGATCTTGTGTTGTTTTGATTGAATATTAAGACTTACGACCTGCAATACCTTTTTTATCCAAAACATGGACATCTGTGTGCCAAATGTACCACGATAACATGGAGAGTTGGATTTCAAGTGTTCTGGTGTTTTAATCACAAGATGGCGCTATGATCCAACTAAACCTGGAGGGCATTTACTCTAAACAAAATGAATAATATCCCTACTACTCAGATCAAGACAGGAACTGACTTCTAAAGTTCATCATGATGTGTCTGCAAACACATCAAATCTGGGACAACATTCCTTGTGTTGATGTGACTGTTTAAGTCAGAAAGATAAGGGTCACCAGAGCCTGGTCAGTAGAGGGCACTGGGGCGCCACTCCACCACTCTCCAAAAGAAGAGTAAAAGACCACGACTGGATAGGATTTTAGACATTAATTAATGTGTAACACGTTTAACATGTGCATACAAACAAGTTTTTAATCAGGTGCTTGTTAAATAACTATTGAGTAACATAAAGTAGCAGAAATAAAATAAAAAAGTTGCTTAGGGGACATAGTCTTCCACAATCATCGACTCTCAATATTTTGTACAGTTAATTGCACCATAAATTTATCATACACTGCCAGTCAGCAGGCAGCAACAAAAAAACTTCATTTCTGTCAGAGCCATGAAAAGAGAGGTTGGGGCATCACTGTAAAGAGTGAAAAATCACATTTTATTGAATGGAACTGAGTTTGAAACTAAGATGGCTGTCAAGACGGAAGAAAACTCAGTAAAGTTATGGTGATTGTGATTTTGAGAGGAAATTTTGCTGGATATGCCTGAAATGATAACATTAGAAAGATGATCTTTGCAGCAGGATTCTAAAATACAGAGATTTAAGAGATGATCTGTGATGACGAAGCTTGAAATAACAACATGTAAGAGGTGATCTTTGCAAGATAGAGTTTAAGAGCTTGGACCTGAGCAGCTGGACATGAGCATGAATAATAACACACTGGACCCAAAATACATAACCAATCAGTAGCTTAAGTCCTGTAGATCTACTTTAATCTACATTTTTATAAGAGCTTTTTCACTTTACTGTCAATGAGATATTTATATTGAACTATAAGGGACTTGTATCTATTTTTATGAGTCTTTTAAAATCATACGCCATTCTGCTTGAGACTGATGGGACAGTACCTTAGTGCTCTATATTGACCAGTCCCCTTTGGTCAGAAGACTGTCTGGACCACAGCTCACACCGCTCACAGTAGTGTCTGTAAATTGATGTTACAAAGAAAACAGGAAGGGCAAATTCTAAGAAAGGAAAAAAGGCTTTGATTGGACAACACATATTCACAGATCTTTGCTTCCCATTAGAGGCTATGCATCCATGTTAAGGAGAGACTTTAGCATCTAATCTCTAATGGTAAAAGCTCCTTCATACCCCTTTGATTTCTTACTACCTCATACTCAATCTGGTGCTCTCAGCTCTCCAAAAACAAATCTTCAGTCAGTTCCATGAGTTTAAAAAAAGTCGGCAGGCTGCAGGGCGTTTTCATCAGATCTCTCTCTTGTCTGTTCAATCTGTACATTTTTCAAGATGTTCTGGAGTGAATCTCTGTCCACAAGTAGATTTAATCTTTTCACTCATCTCTTACCTCCTAGGTGTGCTTATTTCATGCCTCCTATCAGTTTTCTTGTCTCTCAAGAGATCCTTCTAACTCTCTAGGGGCATATGGAGGGCACGTCTCAAGTCTTAGCTGTTTGAGGCACCCTGAAATTTCTTCATAACATCTTTAATTAATACACTTAACATATCTTTACAATCTGTCTCTATTTTTTGACATGATAAGCCTTCTTGTAATACTGTTCTGTATATAACAGCGAAATCTGTCTCATGTTGCCCCGAGGTTTCAGTCATTATCTCCTCCCAAAAGTGCTTCTGGGTCTTTTTTCCTCCAAAAAGAGGCTCCTAGGATAGAGGGTGTCAGACGCTTTACAAATTGCCGAACCCCTTGAAGCCAATTTTTCTGAAGTGTCACCTTTTTGCTTTTTTGACTAATCAGCAGTCCGGAACTAAAAATCCTCTATGACAGAGAAAAGCTCCAAACTGTCCTGTTAAAAAATGGGTGAGCTTCTTTGAAAACATCCTTGTCCAAGATACCAATTATTCAGACCGGCAGAGCTGAGTAAAGAGGTCTAGTGAGGTTCACCAAATCTGCTTTAAACTTGCCAAAAAGGCAGCTTAACAACTAAAAAAAGTTTCCTCATGCCCACAGGTGGCCTATTAACCAAAAAAACTGCTTTCAACAATTCACAGAATATTTTCAGGACCGTCACCTGCCTTCCAGCTACAAGAGTTAAGGGCAAAGTATCACTCCAAGTTAGCAAGGCAAACTTCTATAATAGCTGGCAACAACTTCTCCAAGTAATTGTTAAAAGATTAATCAGTTTAAATGACTTGTTTTGCGCCTTTGCTTCCTAAAAGTAAAAAGGAGCAAGGTGACTAAAAGAGCGTGGATACACCAGGGCATGATGAAATAAGGATAAACCCACATGGATGCTGGTTTAGTTCAGTTTGTGGAGCACAGAGGCCACAGTGCTTGACGCATTTGTTGCTGGTTTGACTTCTGACCTTTAATGCACATCTTCCCTAAATCTTTTCTTCCCACATTTTCACTCCTTTCAACCACCGTCTTCACAGATGTAACTAAATCACTGTCACAATATGCCGATGGAAGCCAGGATGTCATCATTACAGGCGAACATGTTACTTTATTTGCTCTCTACTGACACTTTTCCTGTACAAAGTGAGCTAATACATGATTAGTCAAACTACAAACAGAAACAAAAGTATAATCCAGAATACCCAAACTCTAATCTTGGCTCAAGAGTACAGATTTAACATTTTTCTGTAGGACCCATACCAAGAGAATTGCTTCAGTGAAATGGTTCACTGGGGTGGTTTTGACTTACCGGCTCTGATGCAGCTTTGGCGTCCTCGTAGTCCAGTAGTGTCTCCTCTTGTTAGGCAGGATGGCATCTCTGAGCAGTATCACCTCATCTACCTCCACTTTTATAGCCTGGATTCTGCAGCACATGCAGGGCAAAAAGAGGGGATAGATTTCCAAGACGCCAAAACCTGTCTTCAATTGATTGGAGCTAAATACAATGTCATCGATGACCCTCTTTGTTAATGCTTTTGTCGGCTCGGCTGAGGAGTGATTCACATCCACACAGCCAACGTCAATCGGTGCACTATTAAGAGACACAGCTGTCATTACGGAGAGAAGGTTATCAATCCGACAGCTCTGAGATAGTCAATAACATGAGAAAGTGCAACTGATGTTATAACATGCAGGAGTTAAAGATCAACAGCTGATTCTTATGGACATATTCCTGAAATGATGACGCAGTCACAGAGCTCCTGATCATTAAGGCTGTTTACTTTCACTGCAGACTAGCTCTCCCTCCGCTGGGTAACATTGGGCTCCAGGTGCTTTATGTTGGAGGTCCCCACCATCTTTATTGGGAAACAGGCCTCCATGATTATTCAAATGTCTTCAGGACTATTGAGCCACAGGAACAAGGAGCAGAGTCGACTGTTTGAAAGTTATAGCTACTCTCATGCTGAGAACAGGAGGGTGGGAGGCGTAGCTGTCTCCGGGGGCTTTGTCACCGATAATTAGCGATCAATCAGGAATTAGTTTAAACGCCTGAAAAGAACACAGAGAGCACTATTAGATTGCAAAGATTCACTGCTCTCCAATAATTGCTTTGGATTTTTACAGGGAATCGAGGACCTCCTGTGTGATTATCAGTCCCATTAGGCTCACCATAGGTGCGTCATAAACTTTTCCTTTAATATTGTGGATCAGAGGATCACAGCAGGCTTTTGAAGAGAGAAATATTGATGTTAGTAACCTTCCAAAACTCTTGATTATCTCTCTATCCTTATCCTCTCTATCCGATCATTAATGAAACATGAGTAAGCAACAGAAAATTTTTAATTCATGTTGAAAACAACTTTAGTTATTCAAGTCAAAAACACCCTTGTTTGTGAAAAACAACAACAAAAAAAAGCAACCAGAAGCGCCCACAAAAGTTGCCAGCCGTTTGTTTTGATTGAAGTGGGATGACCTTTGGGTGTTTTCCCAGTTCAGTGTCTTGGCACAGTTTACCTTTTACAGCAGGGTGTAAGGACATGTTATCACGAAGATAGAAGACAGAAGTCAATCTTGTTTTGCACCGACGGCTGGTACTGCAGCAGGATTAGACTTCAGATTCTACAACCAGAGCTTCGCACAGTAAAAGAGCAAAAATTTCTTGACTCATATTTTTTTTTATCCGTGTCATGATGAAATGTTTGGCACATTGCGTCTTTTTTATCCCTGTGTTTATTTCCTTCCCCAGATCTTGACTACAAGGTTGGCAGCGGTGACATTGTGTACCTGCGGTTCACTCCCATCCTGTATCATTGAGAGTCACTCCACTGATTGCATCCTCTAAAAATTTCTCTGTCTTCCTTCTCTCAGTTTCAATACAAAAAAATAGAAAGGCAAAACCATCTTTTCTGTCCTCTCTATTGCCGTTTTGATTTGACAGTACTGGAATTTGAGGCACAACAAGAAAAAAAAATAAAGGATGAGAACACCATTTTTTGTTTAAGTTTTTTAAAACCTCAATCAACCTCCCTAGTTCATTTGATCGTTTTCTTGGAAGTATCTGAAATTTTTTGAAAGGCTCATCTTTCCCTCTGTTTGCTTTCAAGGTGTAGCCAATCAGGTCCAAGGCCTTTACCTCTCAGCCTGCAAAGATATCCTCTCAAACAGCATCCTAAGATCAGCGACTTGACTCTTTTTTTCTACATCTCAATTGTCTGTGACTCCAGCCTCCTTTCCAAGTTACTGAATTATAGACAAACTGAATCAAGAAAGTAACTCAGACCCTTGAAACTGTGACTTGCGCTTCACTTTTTTCTTTAGTAGCCTGCACTTAGATAATGTACGGTGCATTGTGATGACCCTGGACCAGTTCAGTCCAGCTGTTAGGTACATTATGAAGGCCTACCTCACAGCTGGACTGGTCTGTTGCTCTGTACAGGGAGCAAATCTACTGGTTGATACAGCAAGTCTTCAACAGCATATGGAGTGCTCATGCAGTACGCTGCCTCAGGGTAATAATGAAGTCTTACACAGATTCAGTCAGCAATTCATGGGATGATGACTACTGCATGTACACACTTTACATACATGTATACTTAATACAGACACGCACACGCACACACATGATCACGTGTGTGTGCCACACACAAATCTGATATGCACACACTGGTGAGTCACTGTACTTTTCTAACGAATTTTGAAAGTGAGTTTCGATTGAAGTGAGTTGACCTTTGTGAAGTTGGCTTTGGGTGGGTTTCCAGTTCATTGTCTCGGCAAAGTTATCCTTGTGCAGCAGGATGTTAGGACATGTTATCATGAAGATAGAAGCCAATAATGAAAAGAAACAAATTCACGTTTGAGTTCTTATTTTCATAATAATAATTCAGATGACACTTCAGATGTCTGGGTCAGCAAATGAGGTGTTATGTCCTGCTAAGATTGGTCAGATTAGTCTCGAGGGACGTAAAATAGTGTCTACACTCTCTGCCTTGTCAGAGAATTTTGATCAGAAGTTCATCTTTAGACTGGAGTCTCTCATTGGTTAAATCTTGAGTTAAAGATGTTCTTAGGTTGTGTAGTACAGCAGCCAGCTCTGCAGCATAACTTCTGTCTTACAACTGGGACAAAATATCCTTATAATTTATAATGTCAAACACGTAAGACTATATCTAAATTTCTTTATTTTCATAAACACAACCTCAACTCCAAAATATGTTGTGATGCTGTTTTAGAATGTTCAATGTTTTTGCATAAAAATGCAATCCCAACTTGGCACCCACTGAAAACAATCAAACTGTCTAGCAGCTGAAATCCTTCATCAGAAAAGAAAGACAGAACGTGTTTAGGACTCCCAAAACTGTCCTCCTTTGTTCACAAACATTCACCACATTGTTTAAGGAAGAGGAAACAACAATGGCAGACATACCCCTGTCCCAACTTCTTCGAAACCTGCAGTGGGCATCAAATTTTAAATACACATTTTTCAGAAGACAGTAAATTTTTCTGTTTTTAATGCTCACATGTAGTTTAATGGAATGAGAGTTTAAGCATTAGAATCTATTTGATTCAACATTTTACTCAGCGCAACACAACATTAATAGTATTCATGGGAAAAACAACGGCTGTCAACAGCTCATTAACCCTTCAAATTTTCTCAGGGGAAAATAAGCAACTAACCTGTTCTTTTCCTCAGAAGTATGAGTCACGTCTACTATAAAAGGGAGTGAGAGACAGCAGCGATATGTTCCAATTCTGATCTCCTTCTGCACCACACAAAGACGCAGTCACTACGAGAAGACAACAATGACTTCAGGTGAGGCAAAGATTACTGCACATTTCAGCACATTCAATGAGACAGGATCAGATATTTTCAACTGAAACACAGAAAAAAAGTAACTGGATTTTTTTTTCATTCCCTGATTTTCACAGGAGAGATTCCAATCTTATTCAAACTGATCGTTGTCGAAGGTCTGAAGATAGACCAAGTAATATCAAAAACATTCACTGTGCCAACAATAGCCGGGAAGACCCTCTTTCAGTCTATGTCGTATTTGGAGCAAGGCCCTGAAAAATTTTCGTAAGTGATGTAATGAAACTTCATTTGTTTACTCTTTTAACTCAATCAATAAATCAGCCAGGTGAACGGATCTTAGGGTCAGGATGTTTTTATTACACTTCCACCCAGAGTAAGTTAAGTCTGTGTTAAGAAATACAACTTCAGGGAGAGAACCTCAACTTGCAAACACAAAGCAACAATTTTACAGCCTGCCGAACTGTTTGTTTCTGCAGTTTCCGGACCAAGAGAGCCCCCAACATTGGCCACTACATTGTGGAAGCGAGGAACATGAAGAATGAACGCCACCAGTTCTGGGAAACTCTTCTGTGCAGCCCCTCAGAGGGCATCATGCCTATCGGTATGTAAAGATACACACTTTCTTCTAGGAGGTGCCCCAGCTCTGTTTGTAATAATGTGTAGCTTTCATATGAAGATGAACAGGAGGCAATGGCAGCTTGTCGGATGATAAAATCCATAGTTAAAGGCACAGTGAGGAGTTGGCATCTGATTTGGAAATAGTCTCACTCAACTATTCATGATTAACACGGCAAAATGAGATTTTCAGCACCAAGACTTGAAGTTTAGTGCCTATGAAAAAGTCCAACTTCAGAACTCAGCTGGTAAAGATGGACAGTGTTAGCCAAAAGAAGGACTTTTATTTAGATGGTTTACTTTATACATCATGTTTTGCACTGACGGCTGGTACTGCAGCAGGATTAGACTTAAGATTCTTCAACCAGAGCTTCGCACAGTAAAAGAGCAAAAATTTCTTGACTCATATTTTTTTAAATCCGTGTCATGATGAAATGTTTGGCACGTTGCGTCTTTTTTACCCCTGTGTTTATTTCCTTCCCCAGATCTCGAGTACAAGGTTCAAAACGGTGACATTGTGTACCTGCAGTTCACTCCCATCCTGCATAATTGGTGGGAGTGACCCTGCTGAATGCATCCTCTTCAAATTACTCTGTCGCCCTTCTTTCAGTTTCAATACAAAATATACAACATCTTTTCTGTCCTCTCCAATGCTGTTTGAATGAGACAAAACTGGAATTTGATGTGCAACAAGAAAAAGAAATAAAGAATGAGAAAACCATTTTCAGTCTTAGTTTTTTTTTTCCTTATTTATTGCATGACTGTGTTCTTCCTTCTCTACCTACCACACATACAAGCTATAAGCACAAGCAATGTTCATTAAATACTCACAACTGGTCCTCCTCTTATGGCTTATGTGAGTTTTTTCATTTCTTTCCTTTTCAGATTAATAAGCCCTAAAAACTCAACTATAGTCCATTTTTTAAATATTGATTTGAAAATCCAGATGTCATTTTCAGCTGTCATTTTTAACATGTACACAGAATTGAGCTTACGATTAGCTCCTGAAGACCACAAAAGTCATTTCAGCTTACAGTACATCCTATGAGCTTATCGCCATCCCTACCAGCTGACAGCTCAGTTCATTGACTTACAAGCATCCAATTGGCAAATGTCAAAACAAGATGATAATAAATGCCTTTTTATTAGTCTCTTGAAGTCTATCTTTACATGAGTGTATTAGCCGATAAATCTACACAATACCTTTGTGAATGTTGCTCTCAGTGCGTCCCTTCAGTACCTCAATACAACAAAGGATGGCGTCTAAAACACACAAGCTGCAAGAGTTACATGGTCATTTTTGGTGAACTGATAATGTAGGCACTTTACAGCATGAGTGGAGCAGAAATACTTGTTATTCGATCAGCTGGGTGACAAAGATCCTCTGGTATGGTCAAACTTTCAGGTTATTGGTCAAACTTTTCCTCAGCCCCTGGAAAATTTAGTGGATTTTTCTATGAACAAACGCTTTTGATTATAATCTCATAAAAACATGTTTTTGGAAGTGGACTTGATTTAGACTGGATAACAAGGGTCAAAAAGGTCAGGAATTTAAAGTCACCTTGGTCACTGTGGATAACAGACCTTGCGTAAGAATGGACTAATCTTGTAGTTTCTGGTCCTGATGCATGGAGCCTGCAGCACTAAAGGTCTACGGAAACAGGAAAGTTTAGCCAGCAACAGGTTTCAGGAAGAAGCCCTGGTAACGAAGAAAAGCCGAGTCCACTAAGGTTACAAATAAATGATCTGTTTATAAGTCCCTGATTGCTCCGACTAAACTGTGATAAACTTGCTGTGGTTGAGGGGAAAAGTACAGTGAGTCACCAGTTTGTGCATGTTGGGTTCATGTGTGTGTTCATGTTGGGTTTTGTAGTATCAGTGTCATGATCAGCCTTGGTTATGTGTGTGTGCATGCATGCCTGTGCAAAATATGTAAAAAACATAAGGTCTGTACATGTAGTTGTCAAAATCCTGTGGATTGCTGACTGAATATGTATATGACATCATTATTACACTCTTAAAAACATTGGGTTAAAAACAAACCAATTTGGGTGAATTTTAACCAACTGATTTAGTTGGTTCACTTAACCCAACAATTGTTGTTTATATAACCCAATTGGGTTGTTCATATAACCCAACTAAGGGTTCACAGTAACTACTATGCTGGGTTCTTTAAACCCAGCAAGTTGGGTTGTTCAGATTTAATATAATACAAAATTACATTAATTTATCAGATTTCATACTGCGCTTTATCAGAGACCATCAAAGCACTTTACATTGGATACATCATTCATTCACTCACACACAGAAACATGGCTGCCAGTTGCACTTACAGCCTCTCCGACCACCATCACGCAACACTCACAATCATACACCAGTGGAGGACACACACTGGGAGCAAGGTGGGTTAAGTGTCTTGCCCAAGGACAAAACAGACGGATAGGAGGGAATCAAACTGCAAACCAAATTGGGTACTCAGAATACTCAACTCCATGAAAATAACACAAATTAATTGACCAAAAGGCCCAAGCTAGTGGTTGGGTTGAAAAAATAAAGAACAAAGACAAGCATTTAAAAGCTCTCACAAAAGTTGCCAACAGTTGGTTTCCATTGAAGTGGGTTGACCTTTGTGAAGATGGCTTTGCGTGTTTTTCCAGTTCACAGTCCCGGCACAGAAGATAGAAGCCAATGATAAAAAATAAAAAAAACTTCATGCTTGATTTGCAGCACAGAGTCATAAAGATAGTTCAGATGACACTTCAGATGTCTGGGTCAGCAAATGAGGTGTTATGTCCTGCTATATTTCATATTGTGCTTTATCAGAGACCCTCAAAGCAATTTACATTGGATACATCATTCATTCACTCACACGGTCACACCTTGGTAAACTAATTTAGTAGTCACAGCTGCCCTGGGGCAGACTGACGGAAATGTAGCTTGGAGTTTGCGCTGCCTATGGCCCCTCCGAGCACCACCACGCAACTCTTACAGTCATCCACCAGTGGAGGACACACACTGGGAGCAAGGTGGGTAAAGTGTCTTGCCCAAGGACACAACAGACAGACTCAGGATAGCGGGGAATCAAACTACAAGCAAAATTGGGGACTCAGAATACCCAAATCCATGAAAATAACCAAACTATATTGACCAAAAGGCTCAAGCTAGTGGTTGGGTAGAAAAAACAACCCAGCCTTTTTTGTGTGTGTGAGAAACCAATTACAGAAAAATGTGCTAATCTTGAAGTTGCCAACTGCTGGTTTCCATTGAAGTGGTTTGACCTTTGTGAAGTTGGCTTTGGGTGTTTTTTCAGTTCACAGTCTTGGCACAGTTCACCTTTTACTGCAGGATGTTAGGACATGTTAACACGAAGATAGAAGCCAAAAATAATAATAATAATAATAATAATAATAATAATAAAACGTCATGCTTGATTTGCAGCACATGATTGAAAGATACATCATGAGATGCAACTGGGACACATCATTAGTGATGTACCTGAGTTCATTGGGCGTTTCGGGTCTTACAACATCATACGTCCTCCCTCAGATGACCCAGCCTAGGGTTGATCAGACCCTGGCTTGTGTCCCAGTAGCAATGGCCCACAGTTCGCTCCTCCTGATCCACAGCCACCTGGAGGCTCTCACTGCCGCCTCCATGGTGGACTTGATGGCTGACCTTTTTGCAGCCCCGGTGATGCCAAGTAGCGAATAAACCTTGCACAATGAGCGGCCAGCAAAGCCCCTATACCCCACTTCAATGGGTTCGCACCGTGCCTTCCACCCTCCTCTTTGGCATTGCTCGACCAGCTCCTGGTACTTTGACCGCTTCCGCTCGTTTGCCTCCTCTATGCGGTTCTCCCAGGGAACTGTCAGTTCTAAAAAGAGCACCTGCCTTGCAGAGACTGACGATAGCACGATGTCTGGCCTTAGGGAAGTTGTCGTGATCAGGGCCCGTATGCACGTTGAAAGCGTTTAGCGTAAACGCGATTAGGGCTTAAACGCGTTTAGTTATACGGGCCTTAAACGCGTTTAGTTCCTATACGATTTTGGTATGCAGAATGCTGTAAACGGAACCGTATAGCTAACTGCGTTTACTATGTCTTAAACGGGTCGATTGACGCTCGAGTAACGGTTCAACTGACTGTCGACTGATCCACTCCTACCAATTCCCCACACACATCTTGGAAAGAAGAAGTGGCGTTGTACCGTAAGGTTACGAGGACTTGTTGTAGTGGAGTGAGGGTGAATCCTCGGTTCGAAAGTTCAATTTCAGCGGAAATCTCCTGTGTGAGGTCGAGAATATGGTGCCGTCGAAATCTAAACTTACGGAACACTTCGTGGTCGTCATACGTGTCGAAGGGGTGTTTTCTGTCTCGAAAAATCCTGTTTCGACGCAAGTGTTGCTGCTGTCTTCCTTGGAACAACAAGAGTGCCGCCGTATTTAAACGCGTTTAGACCCGCTATTGGACCCCCAGAGGTGCGATAACTTAAAACGCGAAAATCCGTACAGGAACGGCTATACGAAGTGACGTGCATACCGACATTTTTGGCGTTCAGGAGTTAAACGCGTTTAGCGGGCTAAACGCGTTTTGCCAAGCAACGTGCATACGGCCCCTGGTCTGGAAACTTGAGCTGCTTGCCAAGGTCAACTCTGAGATCCCAGTCCATCGCTGAGGTGAGAAGGCCAGCTTCTGGTTTGGGCTGTGACTGAGGCTGCTCTCCAGCCCTGAAAAAGGCGATGTTCCTGTTGCCAGGTTGTTGCTTGCGGCTGTTGTTTTTGGCCACGGCTTTGGAGATGGTTTCAGCAACAGACTTCAGCACCTGGTCGTGCCGCCAGCGGTAACGGCCCTCCCCAAGGGCTTTCGAACAGCTGCTTAGGATGTGCTCCAGAGAGCCTTTCCTGGAGCACAGGGCACAGGCTGGAGAGTCACCCAGACCCCAGAGATGGATAAGAGTCATAATGATAGTTCAGATGACATTTCAGATGTCTGGGTCAGCAAATGAAGTGTTATGTCCTGCTAAGATTGGTCAGATTAGTCTTGAGGTAAAATAGTGTCTACACTCTCTGCCCTATCAGAGAATTTTGATCAGAATCTCATCTTTAGACTGGAGTCTCTCATTGGTTAAATCTTGAGTTAAAGATGTTCTTAGGTTGTGTAGTACAGCAGCCAGCTCTGCAGCTTAACTTCTGTCTTACAACTGGGACATAATTTCCGTGTAATTTATTATGTCAAAAATGTAAGACTATATCTAAATTTCTTTATTTTCATAAATACAAACAATCAAACTGTCTAGCAGCTGAATTCCTTCATCAGAAAAGAAAGAGACAACGTGTTTAGGACTCCCAAAACTGTCCTCCTTTGTTCACAAACATTCACCACATTGTTTAAGGAAGAGGAAACAACAATGGTAGACATACCCCTGTCCCAACTTCTTCGAAACCTGCAGTGGGCATCAAATTTAAAATACACATTTTTCAGAAGACAGTACATTTTTCTGTTTTTAATGCTCACATGTCGTTTAATCGAATGAGAGTTTAAGCATTAGAATCTATTTGATTCAACATTTTACTCAGCGCAACACAACATTTCAAAAATTGTGGTTGTATCAGGCCAATACCATAATTATCACATGATGAGGTGTAACTTAATAGTATACATGGGAAAAACAACGGCTGTCAACAGCTCATTAACCCTTCAAATTTTCTCAGGGGAAAATAAGCAACTAACCTGTTCTTTTCCTCAGAAGTATGAGTCAGGTCTACTATAAAAGGGAGTGAGAGACAGCAACGATATGTTCCAACTCTGACCTCCCTAAGCCAAAAAACTCAACTATAGTCCATTTTTTAAATATTGATTTGAAAATCCAGATGTTATTTTTACCTGTCATTTTCAACATGTACACAGAATTGAGCTCAAGAAATCTACACAATCCCTTTGTGAATGTTGCTACCAACTGTGTTCCTCCAGTACCTCAATACACCACAGGGTGGCTTTTAAAATACACAAGCTGCAAGAGTTACATGGTGTTTTTTGATGAACTGCTAATGTAGGCACTTTACAGCATGAGTGGAGCAGAAATATTTCCAATGTGCTCATTTTTATTGTACTTACTTGAGCATTTGCATTGCAAAAAGATCCTCTGGTATGGTCAAACTTTTCCTCAGCCCCTGGAAAATTTAGTGAATTTTTCTTTGAACAAAAGCTTTTGATTATAATCTCATAAAAACATGTTTTTGGAAGTGGACCTGATGTAGACTGGATAACAAGGGTCAAAATCAGGAATTTAAAGTCACCTTGATCACTGTGGATAACAAACCTTGCGTAAGAATGGACTAATCAAGGACAAGGACACAACAGACGGATAGGGGGGAATCAAACTGCAAACCAAATTGGGTACTCAGAATACTCAACTCCATGAAAATAACCCAAATAAATTGACCAAAAGGCTCAAGCTAGTGGTTGGGTTGAAAGAACAACCCAGCCTTTTTTGTGTGTGTGAATAACCAACGACAGAAAAATGTGCTAATCTTTAAAAGAACTCTAGTTATCAAGTTAAACACACCCTTTTTTGGGAAGAACAAAGACAAGCATTTAAAAGCTCTCACGAAAGTTGCCAACAGTTGGTTTCCATTGAAGTGGGTTGACCTTTGTGAAGTTGGCTTTGCGTGTTTTTCCAGTTCACAGTCCCGGCACAGAAGTTAGAAGCCAATAATAAAAAATTAAAAAAAAGTCATGCTTGATTTGCAGCACAGAGTCATAATGATAGTTCAGATGACATTTCAGATGTCTGGGTCAGCAAATGAGGTGTTATGTCCTGCTATATTTCATACTGTGCTTTATCAGAGACCCTCAAAGCAATTTACATTGGATACATCATTCATTCACTCACACAGTCACACCTTGGTAAACTAATTTAGTAGTCACAGCTGCCCTGGGGCAGACTGACGGAAATGTAGCTTGGAGTTTGCGCTGCCTATGGCCCCTCCGAGCACCACCACGCAACTCTTACAGTCATCCACCAGTGGAGGACACACACTGGGAGCAAGGTGGGTTAAGTGTCTTGCCCAAGGACACAACAGACAGACTCAGGATAGCGGGGAATCAAACTACAAGCAAAATTGGGGACTCAGAATACCCAAATCCATGAAAATAACCAAACTATATTGACCAAAAGGCTCAAGCTAGTGGTTGGGTTGAAAAAACAACCCAGCCTTTTTTGTGTGTGTGAGAAACCAATTACAGAAAAATGTGCTAATCTTGAAGTTGCCAACTGCTGGTTTCCATTGAAGTGGTTTGACCTTTGTGAAGTTGGCTTTGGGTGTTTTTTCAGTTCACAGTCTTGGCACAGTTCACCTTTTACTGCAGGATGTTAGGACATGTTAACACGAAGATAGAAGCCAAAAATAATAATAATAATAATAATAATAATAATAATAATAATAATAATAATAAAACGTCATGCTTGATTTGCAGCACATGATTGAAAGATACATCATGAGATGCAACTGGGACACATCATTAGTGATGTACCTGAGTTCATTGGGCGTTTCGGGTCTTACAACATCATACGTCCTCCCTCAGATGACCCAGCCTAGGGTTGATCAGACCCTGGCTTGTGTCCCAGTAGCAATGGCCCACAGTTCGCTCCTCCTGATCCACAGCCACCTGGAGGCTCTCACTGCCGCCTCCATGGTGGACTTGATGGCTGACCTTTTTGCAGCCCCGGTGATGCCAAGTAGCGAATAAACCTTGCACAATGAGCGGCCAGCAAAGCCCCTATACCCCACTTCAATGGGTTCGCACCGTGCCTTCCACCCTCCTCTTTGGCATTGCTCGACCAGCTCCTGGTACTTTGACCGCTTCCGCTCGTTTGCCTCCTCTACGCGGTCCTCCCAGGGAACTGTCAGTTCTAAAAAGAGCACCTGCCTTGCAGAGACTGACGATAGCACGATGTCTGGCCTTAGGGAAGTTGTCGTGATCAGGGCCCGTATGCACGTTGAAAGCGTTTAGCGTAAACGCGATTAGGGCTTAAACGCGTTTAGTTATACGGGCCTTAAACGCGTTTAGTTCCTATACGATTTTGGTATGCAGAATGCTGTAAACGGAACCGTATAGCTAACCGCGTTTACTATGTCTTAAACGGGTCGATTGACGCTCGAGTGACGGTTCAACTGACTGTCGACTGATCCACTCCTACCAACTCCCCACACACGTCTTGGAAAGAAGAAGTGGCGTTGTACCGTAAGGTTACGAGGACTTGTTGTAGTGGAGTGAGGGTGAATCCTCGGTTCGAAAGTTCAATTTCAGCGGAAATCTCCTGTGTGAGGTCGAGAATATGGTGCTGTCGAAATCTAAACTTACGGAACACTTCGTGGTCGTCATACGTGTCGAAGGGGTGTTTTCCGTCTCGAAAAATCCTGTTTCGACGCAAGTGTTGCCGCTGTCTTCCTTGGAACAACAAGAGTGCCGCCGTATTTAAACGCGTTTAGACCCGCTATTGGACCCCCAGAGGTGCGATAACTTAAAACGCGAAAATCCGTACAGGAACGGCTATACGAAGTGACGTGCATACCGACATTTTTGGCGTTCAGGAGTTAAACGCGTTTAGCGGGCTAAACGCGTTTTGCCAAGCAACGTGCATACGGCCCCTGGTCTGGAAACTTGAGCTGCTTGCCAAGGTCAACTCTGAGATCCCAGTCCATCGCTGAGGTGAGAAGGCCAGCTTCTGGTTTGGGCTGTGACTGAGGCTGCTCTCCAGCCCTGAAAAAGGCGATGTTCCTGTTGCCAGGTTGTTGCTTGCGGCTGTTGTTTTTGGCCACGGCTTTGGAGATGGTTTCAGCAACAGACTTCAGCACCTGGTCGTGCCGCCAGCGGTAACGACCCTCCCCAAGGGCTTTCGAACAGCTGCTTAGGATGTGCTCCAGAGAGCCTTTCCTGGAGCACAGGGCACAGGCTGGAGAGTCACCCAGACCCCAGAGATGGATAAGAGTCATAATGATAGTTCAGATGACATTTCAGATGTCTGGGTCAGCAAATGAAGTGTTATGTCCTGCTAAGATTGGTCAGATTAGTCTTGAGGTAAAATAGTGTCTACACTCTCTGCCCTATCAGAGAATTTTGATCAGAATCTCATCTTTAGACTGGAGTCTCTCATTGGTTAAATCTTGAGTTAAAGATGTTCTTAGGTTGTGTAGTACAGCAGCCAGCTCTGCAGCTTAACTTCTGTCTTACAACTGGGACATAATTTCCGTGTAATTTATTATGTCAAAAATGTAAGACTATATCTAAATTTCTTTATTTTCATAAATACAAACAATCAAACTGTCTAGCAGCTGAATTCCTTCATCAGAAAAGAAAGAGACAACGTGTTTAGGACTCCCAAAACTGTCCTCCTTTGTTCACAAACATTCACCACATTGTTTAAGGAAGAGGAAACAACAATGGTAGACATACCCCTGTCCCAACTTCTTCGAAACCTGCAGTGGGCATCAAATTTAAAATACACATTTTTCAGAAGACAGTACATTTTTCCGTTTTTAATGCTCACATGTCGTTTAATCGAATGAGAGTTTAAGCATTAGAATCTATTTGATTCAACATTTTACTCAGCGCAACACAACATTTCAAAAATTGTGGTTGTATCAGGCCAATACCATAATTATCACATGATGAGGTGTAACTTAATAGTATACATGGGAAAAACAACGGCTGTCAACAGCTCATTAACCCTTCAAATTTTCTCAGGGGAAAATAAGCAACTAACCTGTTCTTTTCCTCAGAAGTATGAGTCAGGTCTACTATAAAAGGGAGTGAGAGACAGCAACGATATGTTCCAACTCTGACCTCCCTAAGCCAAAAAACTCAACTATAGTCCATTTTTTAAATATTGATTTGAAAATCCAGATGTTATTTTTACCTGTCATTTTCAACATGTACACAGAATTGAGCTCAAGAAATCTACACAATCCCTTTGTGAATGTTGCTACCAACTGTGTTCCTCCAGTACCTCAATACACCACAGGGTGGCTTTTAAAATACACAAGCTGCAAGAGTTACATGGTGTTTTTTGATGAACTGCTAATGTAGGCACTTTACAGCATGAGTGGAGCAGAAATATTTCCAATGTGCTCATTTTTATTGTACTTGCTTGAGCATTTGCATTGCAAAAAGATCCTCTGGTATGGTCAAACTTTTCCTCAGCCCCTGGAAAATTTAGTGAATTTTTCTTTGAACAAAAGCTTTTGATTAAAATCTCATAAAAACATGTTTTTGGAAGTGGACCTGATGTAGACTGGATAACAAGGGTCAAAATCAGGAATTTAAAGTCACCTTGATCACTGTGGATAACAAACCTTGCGTAAGAATGGACTAATCAAGGACAAGGACACAACAGACGGATAGGGGGGAATCAAACTGCAAACCAAATTGGGTACTCAGAATACTCAACTCCATGAAAATAACCCAAATAAATTGACCAAAAGGCTCAAGCTAGTGGTTGGGTTGAAAGAACAACCCAGCCTTTTTTGTGTGTGTGAATAACCAACGACAGAAAAATGTGCTAATCTTTAAAAGAACTCTAGTTATCAAGTTAAACACACCCTTTTTTGGGAAGAACAAAGACAAGCATTTAAAAGCTCTCACGAAAGTTGCCAACAGTTGGTTTCCATTGAAGTGGGTTGACCTTTGTGAAGTTGGCTTTGCGTGTTTTTCCAGTTCACAGTCCCGGCACAGAAGTTAGAAGCCAATAATAAAAAATTAAAAAAAAGTCATGCTTGATTTGCAGCACAGAGTCATAATGATAGTTCAGATGACATTTCAGATGTCTGGGTCAGCAAATGAGGTGTTATGTCCTGCTATATTTCATACTGTGCTTTATCAGAGACCCTCAAAGCAATTTACATTGGATACATCATTCATTCACTGACACAGTCACACCTTGGTAAACTAATTTAGTAGTCACAGCTGCCCTGGGGCAGACTGACGGAAATGTAGCTTGGAGGCAAAGATTACTGCACATTTCAGCACATTCAACAAGACAGGATCAGATATTTTTAACTGAAACACAGAAAAAAAGTAACTGGATTTTTTTTTCATTCCCTGATTTTCACAGGAGAGATTCCAATCTCATTCAAACTGATCGTTGTTGAAGGTCTGAAGAAAGGCCAAGTAATATCAAAAACATTCACTGTGCCAACAATAACCGGGAAGACCCTCTTTCAGTCTATGTCGTATTTGGAGCAAGGCCCTGAAAAATTTACGTAAGTGATGTAATGAAACTTCATTTGTTTACTCTTTTAACTCAATCAATAAATCAGCCAGGTGAACGGATCTTAGGGTCAGGATGTTTTTATTACACTTCCACCCAGAGTAAGTTAAGTCTGTGTTAAGAAATACAACTTCAGGGAGAGAACCTCAACTTGCAAACACAAAGCAACAATTTTACAGCCTGCCGAACTGTTTGTTTCTGCAGTTTCCGGACCAAGAGAGCCCCCAACATTGGCCACTACATTGTGGAAGTGAGGAACATGAAGAATGAACGCCACCAGTTCTGGGAAACTCTTCTGTGCAGCCCCTCAGAGGGCATCATGCCTATCGGTAAGTAAAGATACACACTTTCTTCTAGGAGGTGCCCCAGCTCTGTTTGTAATAATGTGTAGCTTTCATATGAAAATGAACAGGAGGCAATGGCAGCTTGTCGGATGATAAAATCCATAGTTAAAGGCACAGTGAGGAGTTGGCATCTGATTTGGAAATAGTCTCACTCAACTATTCATGATTAACACGGCAAAATGAGATTTTCAGCACCAAGACTTGAAGTTTAGTGCCTATGAAAAAGTCCACCTTCAGAACTGGTAAAGATGGACGGTGTTAGCCAAAAGAAGGACTTTTATTTAGATGGTTTACTTTCTACATCATGTTTTGCACTGACGGCTGGTACTGCAGCAGGATTAGACTTCAGATTCTTCAACCAGAGCCTTGCACAGTAAAAGAGCAAAAATTTCTTGACTCATATTTTTTTAAATCCGTGTCATGATGAAATGTTTGGCACGTTGCGTCTTTTTTACCCCTGTGTTTATTTCCTTCCCCAGATCTCGACTACAAGGTTGACAGCGGTGACATTGTGTACCTGCAGTTCACTCCCATCCTGCATAATTGGTGGGGTGACCCCACTGAATGCATCCTCTTCAAATTACTCTGTCGCCCTTCTTTCAGTTTCAATACAAAATAAACATCTTTTCTGTCCTCTCCAATGCTGTTTGAATGAGACAAAACTGGAATTTGATGTGCAACAAGAAAAAGAAATAAAGAATGAGAAAACCATTTTCAGTCTTAGTTTTTTTTTTCCTTATTTATTGCATGACTGTGATCTTCTTTCTCTACCTACCACACATACAAGCTATAAGCACAAGCGATGTTCATTAAATGCTCACAACTGGTCCTCCTCTTATGGCTTATGTGAGGTTTTTTTTCATTTCTCTCCTTTTCTGATTAATAAGCCTAAAAACTCAACTATAGTCCATTTTTTAAATATTGATTTGAAAATCCAGATGTCATTTTCAGCTGTCATTTTTAACATGTACACAGAATTGAGCTTACGATTAGCTCCTGAAGACCACAAAAGTCATTTCAGCTTACAGTACATCCCTTGAGCTTATCGCCATCCCTACCAGCTGACAGCTCAGTTCATTGACTTATAAGCATCCAATTGGCAAATGTCAAAACAAGATGATAATAAATGCCTTTTTATTAGTCTCCTTAAGTCTACCTTTACACAAGTGTAGCGTTTAAGAAATCAACACAATCCCTTTGTGAATGTTGCTACCAATTGTGTTCCTCCAGTACCTCAATACACCACAGGGTGGCTCGTAAGATACACAAGCTGCAAGAGTTACATGGTGTTTTTTGGTGAACTGATAATGTAGGCACTTTACAGCATGAGTGGAGCAGAAATATTTCCAATGTGCTCATTTTTATTGTACTTGCTGGAGCATCTCCATTGCAAAAAGATCCTCTGGTATGGTCAAACTTTCAGGTTATTGGTCAAACTTTTCTTCAGCCCCTGGAAAATTTAGTGGATTTTTCTATGAACAAAAGCTTTTGATTATAATCTCATAAAAACATGTTGTTGGAAGTTGACCTGATGTAGACTGGATAACAAGGGTAAAAATCAGGAATTTAAAGTCACATTGGTCACTGTGGATAACTTAATCTGAAATAGACATTTCTGTAAAAAGGTGCAACAACAGATGCACAGACATTTATTTGCTAACTTGAATGAACAAATTCCAGATGGTCCCTTGTTTTTTTTTTGCTCGTTAGTTTGTTTGAGCTTTTACTTGGAAGTATCTGAAGGTTTGTAAAAGGCTCATTTTTTTCCTTTGTTTGATTCCAATGTGTAGCCAATCGGGTCCAAGCCCTTTACCTCTCAGCCTGCAAAGATATCCTCTCAAACAGCATCCTAAGATCAGCGACTTGACTCTTTTTTTCTACATCTCAATTGTCTGTGACTCCAGCCTCCTTTCCAAGTTACTGAATTATAGACTAACTGAATTAAGAAAGTAACTCAGACCCTTGAAACTGTGACTTGCGCTTCACTTTTTTCTTTAGTAGCCTGCACTTAGATAATGTACGGTGCATTGTGATGACCCTGGACCAGTTCAGTCCAGCTGTTAGGTACATTATGAAGGCTTACCTCACAGCTGGACTGGTCTGTTGCTCTGTACAGGGAGCAAATCTACTGGTTGATACAGCAAGTCTTCAACTGCATACGGAGTGCTCATGCAGTATGCTGCCTCAGGGTAATAATGAAGTCTTACACAGATTCAGTCAGCAATTCATATGATGATGACTACTGCATGTACACACTTTACATACATGTATACTTAATACAGACACGCACACACATAATCACGTGTGTGTGTGGCATCTCACTGTGCCACACACACAAATCTAATAGGCACACACTGGTGAGTCACTGTACTTTTCTAACGAATTTTGAAAGTGAGTTTCGATTGAAGTGAGTTGACCTTTGTGAAGATGGCTTTGGGTGGGTTTCCAGTTCATTGTCTCGGCAAAGTTATCCTTGTGCAGCAGGATGTTAGGACATGTTATCATGAAGATAGAAGCCAATAATGAAAAAAAACAAATTCACGTTTGAGTTCCTATTTTCATAATAATAATTCAGATGACACTTCAGCTGTCTGGGTCAGCAAATGAGGTGTTATGTCCTGCTAAGATTAGTCAGATTAGTCTCGAGGGACGTAAAATAGTGTCTACACTCTCTGCCTTGTCAGAGAATTTTGATCAGAAGTTCATCTTTAGACTGGAGTCTCTCATTGGTTAAATCTTGAGTTAAAGATGTTCTTAGGTTGTGTAGTACAGCAGCCAGCTCTGCAGCTTAACTTCTGTCTTACAACTGGGACATAATATCCTTATAATTTATAATGTCAAACATGTAAGACTATATCTAAATTTCTATATTTTCATAAACACAACCTCAACTCCAAAATATGTTGTGATGCTGTTTTAGAATGTTCAATGTTTTTGCATAAAAATGCAATCCCAACTTGGCACCCACTGAAAACAATCAAACTGTCTAGCAGCTGAAATCCTTCATCAGAAAAGAAAGACAGAACGTGTTTAGGACTCCCAAAACTGTCCTCCTTTGTTCCCAAACATTCACCACATTGTTTAAGGAAGAGGAAACAACAATGGCAGACATACCCCTGTCCCAACTTCTTCGAAACCTGCAGTGGGCATCAAATTTAAAATACACATTTTTCAGAAGACAGTAAATTTTTCTGTTTTTAATGCTCACATGTAGTTTAATGGAATGAGAGTTTAAGCATTAGAATCTATTTGATTCAACATTTTACTCAGCGCAACACAACATTAATAGTATTCATGGGAAAAACAACAGCTGTCAACAGCTCATTAACTCTTCAAATTTTCTCAGGGGAAAATAAGCAACTAACCTGTTCTTTTCCTCAGAAGTATGAGTCACGTCTACTATAAAAGGGAGTGAGAGACAGCAGCGATATGTTCCAATTCTGATCTCCTTCTGCACCACACAAAGACGCAGTCACTACGAGAAGACAACAATGACTTCAGGTGAGGCAAAGATTACTGCACATTTCAGCACATTCAATGAGACAGGATCAGATATTTTCAACTGAAACACAGAAAAAAAGTAACTGGATTTTTTTTTCATTCCCTGATTTTCACAGGAGAGATTCCAATCTTATTCAAACTGATCGTTGTCGAAGGTCTGAAGATAGACCAAGTAATATCAAAAACATTCACTGTGCCAACAATAGCCGGGAAGACCCTCTTTCAGTCTATGTCGTATTTGGAGCAAGGCCCTGAAAAATTTACGTAAGTGATGTAATGAAACTTCATTTGTTTACTCTTTTAACTCAATCAATAAATCAGCCAGGTGAACGGATCTTAGGGTCAGGATGTTTTTATTACACTTCCACCCAGAGTAAGTTAAGTCTGTGTTAAGAAATACAACTTCAGGGAGAGAACCTCAACTTGCAAACACAAAGCAACAATTTTACAGCCTGCCTAAATGTTTGTTTCTGCAGTTTCCGGACCAAGAAAACCCCCAACATTGGCCACTACATTGTGGAAGCGAGGAACATGAAGAATGAACGCCACCAGTTCTGGGAAACTCTTCTGTGCAGCCCCTCAGAGGGCATCATGCCTATCGGTAAGTAAAGATACACACTTTCTTCTAGGAGGTGCCCCAGCTCTGTTTGTAATAATGTGTAGCTTTCATATGAAGATGAACAGGAGGCAATGGCAGCTTGTCAGATGATAAAATCCATAGTTAAAGGCACAGTGAGGAGTTGGCATCTGATTTGGAAATAGTCTCACTCAACTATTCATGATTAACACGGCAAAATGAGATTTTCAGCACCAAGACTTGAAGTTTAGTGCCTATGAAAAAGTCCAACTTCAGAACTCAGCTGGTAAAGATGGACAGTGTTAGCCAAAAGAAGGACTTTTATTTAGATGGTTTACTTTATACATCATGTTTTGCACTGACGGCTGGTACTGCAGCAGGATTAGACTTAAGATTCTTCAACCAGAGCTTCGCACAGTAAAAGAGCAAAAATTTCTTGACTCATATTTTTTTAAATCCGTGTCATGATGAAATGTTTGGCACGTTGCGTCTTTTTTACCCCTGTGTTTATTTCCTTCCCCAGATCTCGACTACAAGGTTCAAAACGGTGACATTGTGTACCTGCAGTTCACTCCCATCCTGCATAATTGGTGGGAGTGACCCTGCTGAATGCATCCACTTCAAATTACTCTGTCGCCCTTCTTTCAGTTTCAATACAAAATAAACAACATCTTTTCTGTCCTCTCCAATGCTGTTTGAATGAGACAAAACTGGAATTTGATGTGCAACAAGAAAAAGAAATAAAGAATGAGAAAACCATTTTCAGTCTTAGTTTTTTTTTTCCTTATTTATTGCATGACTGTGATCTTCTTTCTCTACCTACCACACATACAAGCTATAAGCACAAGCAATGTTCATTAAATACTCACAACTGGTCCTCCTCTTATGGCTTATGTGAGTTTTTTTCATTTCTTTCCTTTTCAGATTAATAAGCCCTAAAAACTCAACTATAGTCCATTTTTTAAATATTGATTTGAAAATCCAGATGTCATTTTCAGCTGTCATTTTTAACATGTACACAGAATTGAGCTTACGATTAGCTCCTGAAGACCACAAAAGTCATTTCAGCTTACAGTACATCCCTTGAGCTTATCGCCATCTCTACCAGCTGACAGCTCAGTTCATTGACTTACAAGCATCCAATTGGCAAATGTCAAAACAAGATGATAATAAATGCCTTTTTATTAGTCTCTTGAAGTCTATCTTTACATGAGTGTATTAGCCGATAAATCTACACAATCCCTTTGTGAATGTTGCTCTCAGTGCGTCCCTCCAGTACCTCAATACAACAAAGGATGGCGTCTAAAACACACAAGCTGCAAGAGTTACATGGTCATTTTTGGTGAACTGATAATGTAGGCCCTTTACAGCATGAGTGGAGCAGAAATACTTGTTATTCGATCAGCTGGGTGACAAAGATCCTCTGGTATGGTCAAACTTTCAGGTTATTGGTCAAACTTTTCCTCAGCCCCTGGAAAATTTAGTGGATTTTTCTATGAACAAACGCTTTTGATTATAATCTCATAAAAACATGTTTTTGGAAGTGGACTTGATTTAGACTGGATAACAAGGGTCAAGATCAGGAATTTAAAGTCACCTTGGTCACTGTGGATAACAGACCTTGCGTAAGAATGGACTAATCTCGTAGTTTCTGGTCCTGATGCATGGAGCCTGCAGCACTAAAGGTCTACGGAAACAGGAAAGTTTAGCCAGCAACAGGTTTCAGGAAGAGGCCCTGGTAACGAAGAAAAGCCGAGTCCACTAAGGTTACAAATAAATGATCTGTTTTTAAGTCCCTGATTGCTCCGACTAAACTGTGATAAACTTGCTGTGATTGAGGGGAAAAGTACAGTGAGTCACCAGTTTGTGCATGTTGGGTTCATGTGTGTGTTCATGTTGGGTTTTGTAGTATCAGTGTCATGATCAGCCTTGGTTATGTGTGTGTGCATGCATGCCTGTGCAAAATATGTAAAAAACATAAGGTCTGTACATGTAGTTGTCAAAATCCTGTGGATTGCTGACTGAATATGTATATGACATCATTATTACACTCTTAAAAACATTGGGTTAAAAACAAACCAATTTGGGTGAATTTTAACCAACTGATTTAGTTGGTTCACTTAACCCAACAATTGTTGTTAATATAACCCAATTGGGTTGTTCATATAACCCAACTAAGGGTTCACAGTAACTACTATGCTGGGTTCTTTAAACCCAGCAAGTTGGGTTGTTCAGATTTAATATAATACAAAATTACATTAATGTATCAGATTTCATATTGCGCTTTATCAGAGACCATCAAAGCACTTTACATTGGATACATCATTCATTCACTCACACACAGAAACATGGCTGCCAGTTGCACTTACAGCCTCTCCGACCACCATCACGCAACACTCACAATCATACACCAGTGGAGGACACACACTGGGAGCAAGGTGGGTTAAGTGTCTTGCCCAAGGACACAACAGACGGATAGGAGGGACTCAAACTGCAAACCAAATTGGGTACTCAGAATACTCAACTCCATGAAAATAACCCAAATAAATTGACCAAAAGGCTCAAGCTAGTGGTTGGGTTGAAAAAATAAAGAACAAAGACAAGCATTTAAAAGCTCTCACAAAAGTTGCCAACAGTTGGTTTCCATTGAAGTGGGTTGACCTTTGTGAAGTTGGCTTTGCGTGTTTTTCCAGTTCACAGTCTCAGCACAGAAGATAGAAGCCAATAATAAAAAATAAAAAAAATGTCATGCTTGATTTGCAGCACAGAGTCATAATGATAGTTCAGATGACACTTCAGATGTCTGGGTCAGCAAATGAGGTGTTATGTCCTGCTATATTTCTTATTGTGCTTTATCAGAGACCCTAAAAGCAATTTACATTGGATACATCATTCATTCACTCACACAGTCACACCTTAGTAAACTAATTTAGTAGTCACAGTTGCCCTGGGGCAGACTGACGGAAATGTAGCTGGGAGTTTGCGCCTGTGGCAGCTCCGAGCACCACCACACAACTCTTACAGTCATACACCAGGAAGACACACACTGGGAGCAAGGTGGGTTAAGTGTCTTGCCCAAGGACACAACAGACAGACTCAGGATAGGGGGGAATCAAACTACAAGCAAAATTGGGGACTCAGAATACCCAAATCCATGAAAATAACCAAACTAAATTGACCAAAAGGCTCAAGCTAGTGGTTGGGTTGAAAAAACAACCCAGCCTTTTTTGTGTGTGTGAGAAACCAATTACAGAAAAATGTGCTAATCTTGAAGTTGCCAACTGTTGGTTTCCATTGAAGTGGTTTGACCTTTGTGAAGTTGGCTTTGGGTGTTTTTTCAGTTCACAGTCTTGGCACAGTTCACCTTTTACTGCAGGATGTTAGGACATGTTAACATGAAGATAGAAGCCAAAAAAAAAAAAAATAAATAAATAATAATAATAATAATAATAATAATAATAATAATAATAATAATAATAATAATAAAACGTCATGCTTGATTTGCAGCACATGATTGAAAGATACATCATGAGATGCAACTGGGACACATCATCAGTGATGTACCGGAGTTCATCGGGCGTTTTGGGTCTTACAACATCATACGTCCTCCCTCAGATGACCCAGCCTAGGGTTGATCAGACCCTGGCTTGTGTCCCAGTAGCAATGGCCCACAGTTCGCTCCTCCTGATCCACAGCCACCTGGAGGCTCTCACTGCCGCCTCCATGGTGGACTTGATGGCTGACCTTTTTGCAGCCCCGGTGATGCCAAGTAGCGAATAAACCTTGCACAATGAGCGGCCAGCAAAGCCCCTATACCCCACTTCAATGGGTTCGCACCGTGCCTTCCACCCTCCTCTTTGGCATTGCTCGACCAGCTCCTGGTACTTTGACCGCTTCCGCTCGTTTGCCTCCTCTACGCGGTCCTCCCAGGGAACTGTCAGTTCTAACAAGAGCACCTGCCTTGCAGAGACTGACGATAGCACGATGTCTGGCCTTAGGGAAGTTGTCGTGATTTGGTCTGGAAACTTGAGCTGCTTGCCAAGGTCAACTCTGAGATCCCAGTCCATCGCTGAGGTGAGAAGGCCAGCTGCTGGTTTGGGCTGTGACTGAGGCTGCTCTCCAGCCTTGACAAAGGCGATGTTCCTGTTGCCAGGTTGTTGCTTGCGGCTGTTGTTTTTGGCCACGGCTTTGGAGATGGTTTCAGCAACAGACTTCAGCACCTGGTCGTGCCGCCAGCGGTAACAACCCTCCCCAAGGGCTTTCGAACAGCTGTTTAGGATGTGCTCCAGAGAGCCTTTCCTGGAGCACAGGGCACAGGCTGGAGAGTCACCCAGACCCCAGAGATGGATAAGAGTCATAATGATAGTTCAGATGACATTTCAGATGTCTGGGTCAGCAAATGAAGTGTTATGTCCTGCTAAGATTGGTCAGATTGGTCTTGAGGTAAAATAGTGTCTACACTCTCTGCCCTATCAGAGAATTTTGATCAGAAGTTCATCTTTAGACTGGAGTCTCTCATTGGTTAAATTTTGAGTTAAAGATGTTCTTAGAAGTTAAGCTGCAGAGCTGGCTGCTGTACTACACAACCTGTCTTACAACTGGGACATAATTTCCGTGTAATTTATTATGTCAAACATGTAAGACTATATCTAAATTTCTTTATTTTCATAAATACAAACAATCAAACTGTCTAGCAGCTGAAATCCTTCATCAGAAAAGAAAGAAACAACGTGTTTAGGAATCCCAAAACTGTCCTCCTTTGTTCCCAAACATTCACCACATTGTTTAAGGAAGAGGAACTCTGACCTCCCTAAGCCAAAAAACTCAACTATAGTCCATTTTTTAAATATTGATTTGAAAATCCAGATGTTATTTTTACCTGTCATTTTCAACATGTACACAGAATTGAGCTCAAGAAATCTACACAATCCCTTTGTGAATGTTGCTACCAACTGTGTTCCTCCAGTACCTCAATACACCACAGGGTGGCTTTTAAAATACACAAGCTGCAAGAGTTACATGGTGTTTTTTGATGAACTGCTAATGTAGGCACTTTACAGCATGAGTGGAGCAGAAATATTTCCAATGTGCTCATTTTTCTTGTACTTGCTGGAGCATTTGCATTGCAAAAAGATCCTCTGGTATGGTCAAACGTTCAGGTTATTGGTCAAACTTTTCCTCAGCCCCTGGAAAATTTAGTGAATTTTTCTATGAACAAAAGCTTTTGATTATAATCTCATAAAAACATGTTTTTGGAAGTGGACCTGATGTAGACTGGATAACAAGTGTCAAAATCAGGAATTTAAAGTCACCTTGATCACTGTGGATAACAGACCTTGCGTAAGAATGGACTAATCAAGGACAAGGACACAACAGACGGATAGGGGGGAATCAAACTGCAAACCAAATTGGGTACTCAGAATACTCAACTCCATGAAAATAACGCAAATAAATTGACCAAAAGGCTCAAGCTAGTGGTTGGGTTGAAAAAACAACCTAGCCTTTTTTGTGTGTGTGAGAAACCAACTACAGAAAAATGTGCTAACCTTTAAAAGAACTATAGTTACCACGTCAAACACACCCTTTTTTGGGAAGAACAAAGACAAGCATTTAAAAGCTCTTACGAAAGTTGCTAACAGTTGGTTTCCATTGAAGTGGGTTGACCTCTGTAAAGTTGGCTTTGCGTGTTTTTCCAGTTCACAGTCTCGGCACAGAAGATAGAAGCCAATAATAAAAAATAAAAAAAACGTCATGCTTGATTTGCAGCATAGAGTCATAATGATAGTTCAGATGACACTTCAGATGTCTGGGTCAGCAAATGAAGTGTTATGTCCTGCTAAGATTGGTCAGATTGGTCTCGAGGCATGTAAAATAGTGTCTACACTCTCTGCCTTGTCAGAGAATTTTGATCAGAATCTCATCTTTAGTCTGGAGTCTCTCATTGGTTAAATCTTGAGTTAAAGATGTTCTTAGGTTGTGTAGTACAGCAGCCAGCTCTGCAGCTTAACTTCTGTCTAACAACTGGGACATAATTTCCGTGTAATTTATTATGTCAAACATGTAAGACTATATCTAAATTTCTTTATTTTCATAAACACAACCTCAACTCCAAAATATGTTGTGATGCTGTTTTAGAATGTTCAATGTTTTTGCATAAAAATGCAATCCCAGCTTGGCACCCACTGAAAACAATCAAACTGTCTAGCAGCTGAAATCCTTCATCAGAAAAGAAAGAGACAACGTGTTTAGGACTCCCAAAACTGTCCTCCTCTGTTCCCAAACATTCACCACATTGTTTAAGGAAGAGGAAACAACAATGGCAGACATACCCCTGTCCCAACTTCTTCAAAACCTGCAGTGGGCATCAAATTTTAAATACACATTTTTCAGAAGACAGTAAATTTTTCTGTTTTTAATGCTCACATGTAGTTTAATCGAATGAAAGTTTAAGCATTAGAATCTATTTGATTCAACATTTTACTCATTGCAACACAACATTTCAAAAATTGTGGTTGTATCAGGCCAATACCATAATTATCACATGATGAGGTGTAACTTAATAGTATTCATTGGAAAAACAACGGCTGTCAACAGCTCATTAACCCTTCAAATTTTCTCAAGGAAAAATAAGCAACTAACCTGTTCTTTTCCTCAGAAGTACGAGTCACGTCTACTATAAAAGGGAGTGAGAGACAGCAGGGATATGTTCCAATTCTGATCTCCTTCTGCACCACACAAAGACGCAGTCACTACGAGAAGACAACAATGACTTCAGGTGAGGCAAAGATTACTGCACATTTCAGCACATTCAATGAGACAGGATCAGATATTTTTAACTGAAACACAGAAAAAAAGGAACTGGATTTTTTTTTTAATTCCCTGATTTTCACAGGAGAGATTCCTATCTCATTCAAACTGATCGTTGTCGAAGGTCTGAAGAATTCCCAACTAATATCAAAAACATTCACTGTGCCAACAATAGCCGGGAAGACCCTCTTTCAGTCTATGTCGTATTTGGAGCAAGGCCCTGAAAAATTTACGTAAGTGATGTAATGAAACTTCATTTGTTTACTCTTTTAACTCAATCAATAAATCAGCCAGGTGAACGGATCTTCGGGTCAGGCTGTTTTTATTACACTTCCACCCAGAGTAAGTTAAGTCTGTGTTAAGAAATACAACTTCATGGAGAGAACCTCAACTTGCAAACACAAAGCAACAATTTTACAGCCTGCCTAAATGTTTGTTTCTGCAGTTTCCGGACCAAGAAAACCCCCAACATTGGCCACTACATTGTGGAAGCGAGGAACATGAAGAATGAACGCCACCAGTTCTGGGAAACTCTTCTGTGCAGCCCCTCAGAGGGCATCATGCCTATCGGTAAGTAAAGATACACACTTTCTTCTAGGAGGTGCCCCAGCTCTGTTTGTAATAATGTGTAGCTTTCATATGAAGATGAACAGGAGGCAATGGCATCTTGTCAGATGATAAAATCCATAGTTAAAGGCACAGTGAGGAGTTGGCATCTGATTTGGAAAAAATTTCACTCAACTTTTCATGATTAACACGGCAAAATGAGATTTTCAGCACCAAGACTTGAAGTTTAGTGCCTATGAAAAAGTCCACCTTCAGAACTCAGCTGGTAAAGATGGACAGTGTTAGCCAAAAGAAGGACATTTATTTAGATGGTTTACTTTCTACATCATGTTTTGCACTGACGGCTGGTACTGCAGCAGGATTAGACTTCAGATTCTACAACCAGAGCTTCGCACAGTAAAAGAGCAAAAATTTCTACACTCATATTTTTTTTAAATCCGTGTCATGATGAAATGTTTGGCAAGTTGCGTCTTTTTTACCCCTGTGTTTATTTCCTTCCCCAGATCTCGAGTACAAGGTTAAAAGCGGTGACATTGTGTACCTGCAGTTCACTCCCATCCTGCATAATTGGTGGGAGTGACCCTGCTGAATGCATCCTCTTCAAATTACTCTGTCGCACTTCTTTCAGTTTCAATACAAAATAAACAACATCTTTTCTGTCCTCTCCAATGCTGTTTGAATGAGACAAAACTGGAATTTGAGGTGCAACAAGAAAAAGAAATAAAGAATGAGAAAACCATTTTCAGTCTCTGTTTTTTTTCCTTATTTATTGCATGACTGTGTTCTTTCTTCTCTACCTCCTTTTTTTCCTTTGTTTGATTCCAATGTATAGCCAATCAGGTCCAAGCCCTTCACCTCTCAGCCTGCAAAGATATCCTCTCAAACAGCATCCTAAGATCAGCGACTTGACTCTTTTTTTCTACATCTCAATTGTCTGTGACTCCAGCTTCCTTTCCAAGTTACTGAATTATAGACCAACTGAATCATGAAAGTAACTCAGACCCTTGAAACTGCAACTTGTGCTTCACTTTTTTCTTTAGTAGCCTGCACTTCTTAGATAATCTATGGTACATTGTGATGACCCTGGACCAGTTCAGTCCAGCTGTTAGGTACATTATGAAGGCCTACCTCACAGCTGGACTGGTCTGTTGCTCTGTACAGGCAGCAAATCTACTGGTTGATACAGCAAGTCTTCAACAGCATACGGAGTGCTCATGTAGTATGCTGCCTCAGGGTAATAATGAAGTCTTACACAGATTCAGTCAGCAATTCATAGGATGATGACTACTGCATGTACACACTTTACATACATGTATACTTAATACAGACACACACACACATATAATCACGTGTGTGCCACACACAAATCTAATATGCACACACTGGTGAGTCACTGTACTTTTCTAGCGAATTTTGAAAGTGAGTTTCTATTGAAGTGAGTTGACCTTTGTGAAGTTGGCTTTGGGTGTGTTTCCAGTTCATTGTCTTGGCAAAGTTGTCCTCGTGCAGCAGGGTGTTAGGACATGTTATCATGAAGATAGAAGCCAATAATGAAAAAAAACAAATTCACGTTTGAGTTCTTACACAGAGTCATAATGATAGTTCAGATGACACTTCAGATGTCTGGGTCAGCAAATGAGGTGTTATGTCCTGCTAAGATTGGTCAGTTAAGTCTTGAGGTAAAATACCACACATACAAGCTATAAGCACAAGCAATGTTCATAAAATGCTCACAATTGGTCCTCCTCTTATGGCTTATGTGAGTTTTTTTTCATTTCTCTCCTTTTCTGATTAATAAGCCTAAAAACTCAACTATAGTCCATTTTTAAATATTGATTTGAAAATCCAGATGTCATTTTCAGCTGTCATTTTAAACATGTACACAGAATTGAGCTTACGATTAGCTCCTGAAGACCACAGAAGTCATTTCAGCTTACAGTACATCCCTTGAGTTTATCGCCATCTCTACCAGCTGACAGCTCAGTTCACTGACTTACAAGCATCCAATTGGCAAATGTCAAAACAAGATGATAATAAATGCCTTTTTATTAGTCTCTTGAAGTCTACCTTTACACAAGTGTTGCATTTAAGAAATCTACACAATCCCTTTGTGAATGTTGCTACCAATTGTGTTCCTCCAGTACCTTAATACACCACAGGGTGGCTCCTAAGATACACAAGCTGCAAGAGTTACATGGTCATTTTTGGTGAACTGATAATGTAGGCACTTTACAGCATGAGTGGAGCAGAAATGTTTCCAATGTGCTCATTTTTATTGTACTTGCTGGAGCATTTTCACTGCAAAAAGCTCCTCTGGTATGGTCGAACTTTCAGGTTATTGGTCAAACTTTTCCTCAGCCCCTGGAAAATTTAGTGGATTTTTCCATGAACAAAAGCTTTTGATTATAATCTCATAAAAACATGTTTTTGGAAGTGGACTTGATTTAGACGGAATAACAAGGGTCAAAATCAGGGATCTAAGTTAGCTTGGTCACTGTGGATAACTTAATCTGAAATAGACATTTCTATAAAAAGGTGCAACAACAGATGCACAGACACGTATTTGCTAACTTGAATGAACATATTCCAAATGGTTCCTTGTTTTTTTTGTTCGTTAGTTTGTTTGAGCTTTTTCTTGAAAGTATCAGAAATTTTTCAAAAGGCTCATCTTTTCCTGTTTGATTTCAATGTAGGGCTGCATGATATTGGAAAAAAAAAACTAACATTGCAGTTCTTTTGAAGCCCTGCAATATATTTTGGGATATTTAAAATACAAAAACTTTCACCAGAAGACCTGAAAAGCATTTTATGCTATGCTGCACTGCTGAAATCTTGTGGACAATTAACCTGTACTGATCTTACCTCTTTTTGTGAATGTTAGTGGAATGGCTTCTGTCCGTCTCAGACATATCTTTATTTTGCTTTTATTGTGCTGGGACGTTATTGTGGCAACAGATGAAAAGCACTGCCGACAGAACACATTTTGAGTCGACATCATCCTTCTTGTGACTGAAATTATTCCAGATAACTGACGTTGCTTTTCTTTTCGGCAAAAAGTCTTCAGTTTTGGTGGCTTTCTCTTGTTCATGCGTTGTTGTTGTTACCGGTGTTGTGCCGAGAAACGCATGCCCACCGAAAATTGTATGCACCTCGCAAAAACACACACTGCTTATAGTAGAGTGGTCCACGGAAATGTACAATATAATTCCCATACAATTCTAATTTGTGGGGCTAAACACTAATGAGTGATGTTCCGAAAGTAATTCTCGGCGGGCATACATTTCTCGGCACAACACCGGCAGTGCCAGCGACCCACTCCCATAGACTGTATGCTCACTCCATGTGCAGGCCATGTGCAGGGGCGTGGTTTCCTCCGCTCAGATTTTGATTGACAGCTTTCAGAGTAGTCTAATTGGCAACTGAGTAAGGATCAAATGTGATTGATGGATTGCTGCACAGCACATGCAAAGACACATGCAAAGACACATGCAGTGTATCTCAGTCAGCTACCCTTGAAATTAGATGAGTTCATTCGCCTCCTATATGGCAGGCTCTGCAATGTGACTATCGCACGCACGTACATTGCGATGACGATGCTCAAACAATATATCAGGCAGCCCTGTTTCAATGTATAGCCAATCAGGTCCAAGCCCTTTACCTCTCAGCCTGCAAAGATGTCCTCTCGAACAGCCTCCTAAGTTCAGTGACTTTACTGACTCTTTTTTTTTCTTCATCTTAATTGTCTGTGACTCTAGCCTCCTTTCAAAAGTCACAGAATTACAGAGTAGCTGAATCTACTCTAAGTTGCTAACAGACAAACAAACTCACAAACAAACAAACCAACGCTTCTGAAAACATAACCTCCTTGGCGGAGGTAATAAAAGGATTGACATTAATGTTCTTCAGTTTCTCAATCAGTAGATGTGGCTGTAGTGTACAGGTGTTATAATTGAGTTCTTCCAGAGGGTGGGGACAATGTGTTGATCGACAGATTTCTGAAAGATGCGACAGAAGGCAGGAGTCAGCTCCTTTGCACAGATTTTAAGAAGAAATGCCGTCTGGCCCTGTGGCTTTTTTAGCGCAGCTGTGTTTAAAAAGTGACTGGACTTCATCAGGGTCGATAAACACGTCCTGGTCACTAACACATATGGATTTTAAAACACTGTCACTTTCAAAAGAGAAGTCACAACTTTCAAATCTCATGAAAAAGTTGTTCAGTTCATTTAATTTTTGCAGTGCTAATACCCTTTTTGGCTGGAGTCATATTAGATCTGACTTTCATAGTGTCCCACAGCTTCTTGGTGTTTGTAGCATGACAGTTTTGTTCAATGATTTCCCTATGTCTGTTCCTCGCTTCCCTGAGCTTGCAGTTGAGTTCTTTTAGTACAGTTTTCAGTTGCGCTCGGTCTTGTTTTTAAAAAGCCATCTTTTTATGGTTAATACACTCTTTAATCTCTTTGCTTATGTAGATTTGGTTGTTTGGGTACACAGTTATTTCTTTATGAGGTATGACATTGTCCACACAGAACTGAATATATTCTGTAACAGTCTCAGTGTTACGCCCCACCTGAAGGCGGCCCTATGGGGCTAACAACTGTCCTCATCTTTTGACCCATTAAATTAACAAAACACCTTCAAAAGTGTAACGAGTGATTTATTGTGACTAAATAACAAAATTACAAACTAAACACGAAGAACCCACAACACCAATGAGAGGCAGCAGGGCAGCAGTTCCCCACCAAGTGCCTCTCCAGACTGCAGGCAGCTCTCAGTCTTAAAGGCCCAGCACCAGGTGAGTCTGATTAGCACTCAGTGATTTCACCTGGGCAGCTATGGAGAGACAAAAGGGGAAAACACACACACACAAAACAAACACACAGCCGTAACACTCAGCAGCATCATTCACATCCATCTCATGAAAGATGCTCCACTCAGCTGACAGAAAGCATCCTTTGAGAGCTTCAATGCCGTCACTGGTCCAGTTTTTGACAGTTTTGGTTTGTGGTTTGCTGCGTTTGAGAGCTGTTCTGTAAGTGGGTATGAGATGCACCGTGTTGTGATCTGAATTTGAAAATGGAGGTTTGGCCTTGCCCACGTATGCATAGTTTACATTGCCATAGCTTTTGTCCAGTGTTTTATCCTCCCGTGTACCACATTTGATGTACTGTTGGAAACCTGGAGGTGCTAACTCCAGTTTACAATGGTTAAAATCTCCTAGAATAAAAACAGGTGTCTCTGGAGTGCAGAGGATGATGCACCCAAACTCACTGGGTACATTCATCGGTCTCAGGCTAAAACACATAAGTTCTACATCAGAGTTACACAGGGTCTTGTGGAGTATGTACTATATAATAATATCAAGTTGTCTATATGGTAACGCAATAGTGGGAATGTGACAAACCTTGCTTTGTATGTGTCTTCGCTTCAGCAGTTGTGGCATCAATCTGGTGAGTGGGTGGTGCTTGGTTTCAAATGCCTGAACGTCCACCCAATGTGTTGGGTAGTCCACCATCAACCAACAAAACTGTATAGAAATACAACCCAACAGCTAATAACTCTGTTCCCGACATAAATAACCTTGTGAACTGGGTACTCAAAATACCCAACTCCATGAAAATAACCCAAATAAATTGACTAACGGGCTCAACCTAGTGGTTGGGTTGAAAAAAAAAAAAAAAACAGATAATTTTTTGTGTGTGTAAGCAGTCTGCTGGTTTGACAGAGAATCAGGTGGATGGTTGTGACCAACACAAGCTTGGAAGCTGAGTTTGTTGGAGACAGGGAGCTTCTTATTCCGGGACCTGAACCGTAACAGACCTTGCGTAAGAATGGACTAATCTCGTAGTTTCTGGTCCTGATGCATGGAGCCTGCAGCACAAAAGGTCTACGGACACAGGAAAGTTTAGCCAGCAACAGGTTTCAGGAAGAGACCCTGGTAACGAAGAAAAGCCGAGTCCACTAAGGTTACAAATAAATGATCTGTTTTTAAGTCCCTGATTGCTCCGACTAAACTGTGATAAACTTGCTGTGATTGAGGGGAAAAGTACAGTGAGTCACCAGTTTGTGCATGTTGGGTTCATGTGTGTGTTTTGTAGTATCAGTGTCAGAATCAGCCTTGGTTATGTGTGTGTGCATGCATGCCTGTGCATAATATGCAAAATATGCAAAAAAAACATAAGGTTTGTACATGTAGTTGTCAAAATACAGTGGATTGCTGACTGAATATGTATATGACATCATTATTACACTCTTAAAAACATTGGGTTAAAAACGAACCAATTTGGGTCGTTTCCAACCCCGCGGTGGTTAAATATTGGACAGGACACATGCTGGGTGAATTTTAACCAACTGATTTAGTTGGTTCACTTAACCCAACAATTGTTGTTAATATAACCCAATTGGGTTGTTCATATAACCCAACTAAGGGTTCACAGTAACTATTATGCTGGGTTCTTTAAACCCAGCAAGTTGGGTTGTTCATATTTAATATGATACAAAATTACATTAATGTATCAGATTTCATATTGCGCTTTATCAGAGACCATCAAAGCACTTTACATTGGATACATCATTCATTCACTCACACACAGAAACATGGCTGCCAGTTTGCACTTACAGCCTCTCCGACCACCATCACACAACACTCACAATCATACACCAGTGGAGGACACACACCGGGAGCAAGGTGGGTTAAGTGTCTTGCCCAAGGACATGTAGCAATCAAGACAACCCTGGGTGTGAAACTCACACATTCCTCACAGGAAAGTTTCCTTATCTGGTCCCAGGACACAAGATATAAATCTTTCCAGACTTGTTTACACTTTCAAGTGTCTTGCCCAAGGACACAACAGACAGACTCAGGATAGGGGGGAATCAAACTACAAGCAAAATTGGGTACTCAGAATACCCAAATCCATGAAAATAACCAAACTATATCGACCAAAAGGCTCAAGCTAGTGGTTGGGTTGAAAAAACAACCCAGCCTTTTTTGTGTGTGTGAGAAACCAATTACAGAAAAATGTGCTAATCTTGAAGTTGCCAACTGTTGGTTTCCATTGAAGTGGTTTGACCTTTGTAAAGTTGGCTTTGGGTGTTTTTTCAGTTCACAGTCTTGGCACAGTTCACCTTTTACTGCAGGATATTAGGACGTGTTAACACGAAGATAGAAGCCAAAAATAATAAAACAATAATAATAATAATAATAAGATTAATAATAATAATAATAATAAAAAAACGTCATTCTTGATTTGCAGCACAGAGTCATAATGATAGTTCAGATGACATTTCAGATGTCTGGGTCAGCAAATGAGGTGTTATGTCCTGCTAAGATTGGTCAGTTAAGTCTTGAGGTAAAATAGTGTCTACACTCTCTGCCCTGTCAGAGAATTTTGATCAGAAGTTCATCTTTAGACTGGAGACTCTCATTGGTTAAATCTTGAGTTACAGATGTTCTAAGGTTGTGTAGTACAGCAGCCAGCTCTGCAGCTTAACTTCTGTATTACAACTGGGACATAATTTCCGTGTAATTTATTATGTCAAACATGTAAGACTATATCTAAATTTCTTTATTTTCATAAATACAAACAATCAAACTGTCTAGCAGCTGAAATCCTTCATCAGAAAAGAAAGACACAACGTGTTTAGGACTCCCAAAACTGTCCTCCTCTGTTCCCAAACATTCACCACATTGTTTAAGGAAGAGGAAACAACAATGGCAGACATACCCCTGTCCCAACTTCTTCGAAACCTGCAGTGGGCATCAAATTTGAAATACCCATTTTTTAGAAGACAGTAAATTTTTCTGTTTCTAATGCTCACATGTAGTTTAATCGAATGAGAGTTTAAGCATTAGAATCTATTTGATTCAACATTTTACTCAGCACAAAACAACATCTCAAAAATTGTGGTTTTATCAGGCCAATACCATAATTATCACATGATGAGGTGTAACTTAATAGTATTCATTGGAAAAACAACGGCTGTCAACAGCTCATTAACCCTTCAAATTTTCTCAGGGAAAAATAAGCAACTAACCTGTTCTTTTCCTCAGAAGTATGAGTCACGTTTACTATAAAAGGGAGTGAGAGACAGCAGCGATATGTTCCAACTCTGACCTCCCTAAGCCAAAAAACTCAACTATAGTCCATTTTTTAAATATTGATTTGAAAATCCAGAGGTCTGTACATGTAGTTGTCAAAATCCTGTGGATTGCTGACTGAATATGTATCTGACATCATTATTACACTCTTAAAAACATTGGGTTAAAAACGAACCAATTTGGGTCGTTTCCAACCCCGCAGTGGTTAAATATTGGACAGGACACATGCTGGGTGAATTTTAACCAACTGATTTAGTTGGTTCACTTAACCCAACAATTGTTGTTAATATAACCCAATTGGGTTGTTCACATAACCCAACTAAGGGTTCACAATAACTACTATGCTGGGTTCTTTAAACCCAGCAAGTTGGGTTGTTCATATTTAATATAATACAAAATTACATTAATGTATCAGATTTCATATTGCCCTTTATCAGAGACCCTCAAAGCACTTTACATTGGATACATCATTCATTCACTCACACACAGAAACATGGCTGCCAGTTTGCACTTACAGCCTCTCCGACCACCATCACACAACACTCACAATCATACACCAGTGGAGGACACACACTGGGAGCAAGGTGGGTTAAGTGTCTTGCCCAAGGACATGTAGCAATCAAGACAACCCTGGGTGTGAAACTCACACATTCCTCACAGGAAAGTTTCCTTATCTGGTCCCAGGACACAAGATATAAATCTTTCCAGACTTGTTTACACTTTCAGGTTGCCTAAGTGACCCAACCAGAGGTTGACCAAACTACTGACTCTTCACGATTGGTCAATTCAGAGAACAGAGACAGAGTTTTTATTACCTTTTAAACTGACTCCATTACTGACCATCTAAATAAACATTAACGTCTCAAGCCAGATTTCCCATTTGAGATTTACCATCTTAAAGTGTGTGAACATACGAACCCCAGGATAAGGGGGGACACTGACCTCCAGACCTCGGTCGTAAAACCCTGCTTGACCATGCACTGATAAAGACTGCATTCCTTTGGTGAAAGAATACAAATGACTGATCCTGACATCTTATGCATTCAGCAATGTACTAATCTGACTAATCATGAAATTTGTGTTAAAATGAGATGTTTCCCGTTTTTCTATGTGCTCCAGAAGCCGAGTTATCACTGATAGAATAAATCCTTTATTCTTTAGTTTCTTTAGACCAACAGCTTTTCAGACTGTTTCATGAACTTTTAAGAGTTAAATTTATTGACTATGAATCATAACTTAACTCTAAGTAACAGAAATAGTTTAGAAATGTTTGGTTTATATTGTAAATGTTTATTTAGTATTTTTAACCATTAGGTGGTTATAATGTCATTGAATAACCTGAATGTGAGTATTTAGAATCCATTATTAATCATGATGACGTTTATTCACGTTTACTCTTTTGTTGTTCACAGTTTCCATGTGTTACTATCTGTTTCATTTCAGAGTAATTTAGCATGTTCAATGTGATACTTGAAACATAATGAGATTGTTTGATGTGATCCTACACTTCATTCATATGTATTTAGTATCAAATTGTTTATCATGAAACCTAGCATTCAATGATATTAATCATAGTGAGTGAGTATCAGATCTGACTCTTTTGCCAGCCAAAAGAATAAGTTAGATCAAATAATCAAAGACCACACGACCCCTCCTCTGTCTCACACACACACGCCAGAGACACTCCTAGTGTGAGAAGATAAAACCAGTGAAGTGGGGTTGCTCACTCTCTTGTGTGCTGATTCTTCTCCCCTTTTTCTCTTCTGCCCACACCCTTCTGTGGTGCATTTCTTTGTTTTCTCTTAGAACTTTTTCTTAGTCTTCTAAGTTTTACGCCACGTGTTGATTCACGTTGATTTTCTTTAACATTGTCTTAGTTCAAGTTTTGAAACTTCAACTTTTTGTGCGCATAGCAATTCAAGATTAAGCCTTTGATTGATTTTTCTTTAATTTCGCGAAGCCATTTTTGAAAGTTTTCTCTGCTCGCGTCTCGTTTTTCTGAGTTTTCTGCGTGGTCTCAAAGTCACCTCTGAACGCAACCCAGCAGGCCCAGGTCATCCTCTGTGCCAGAGTTTTTGAGTGAGACCAAAGAAGTACCCAAACGAGCATCCACAGTATCCACAGGCGCTGGCTTTGCTTCATGCCCGAGTGCTGCAACTCCTGGCTCATCCTTCGGCTGACTTCAGTCATCTTCTGAGCTGAACCGCTCGAACCGCCAGTAGCCCCGGACCTTCGGAACCTGCTCCATCTTCTCCAAGGACCAGTCTCACTTCAGTATGCAAACCTCCAGAGGCTGATGCTGTCTCATGCGTTCATAACTCAGATATCCACCTATTTCTGGTGAGCTTAGATTCCTCCAAATCCACATCCGAGTTTATCTCGACACCAAAGTTAGTGTAGATTAATATGTTAGCGCATATTCACTCACTATCATTAACTTTAGTGCTCCTAGCCTGACTCAGAATCTTTATTTATTCACCTATTATTATTTATCTTCATTATCTTATCATCATTTATTGCATGTGTGTTGTACCATCATTTATCCTGTAATAAACAGATCATTATTTTTCTAAGTTACTGTCTGTTAGTGTTCTTCCAGAAGTGGAGTCCCTGAAATTAGAATTTCGACTTAAGATATGAGACTGATTAATTAAAACTGACTTGATGTTTGATTTCTGAATTAAACTTTTGTTTTCTTTATTTTCCCACCATTGAGGGTGGGTGGTGCCCCTTTCAACGAGTGCATAAATGTCATAATTTGAGATTATTAATCTTCAGACATTTATTATAAATTCCAATCGCTACAGTATTGTTTTGGTGCAGCCTTGTGAGGCTCATTTCAAATCGCTACATATATTTTGGTGCGACCGTGTGAGGCTCATTTCAACCGCTACAGACACAACAGACAGACTCAGGATAGGGGGGAATCAAACTACAAGCAAAATTGGGTACTCAGAATACCCAAATCCATGAAAATAACCCAAATAAATCGACCAAAAGGCTCAGGCTAGTGGTTGGGTTGAAAAAACAACCCAGCCTTTTTTGTGTGTGTGAGAAACCAATTACAGAAAAATGTGCTAACCTTTAAAAGAACTCTAGTTATCAAGTTAAACACACCCTTTTTTGGGAAGAACAAAGACAAGTATTTAAAAGCTCTCACGAAAGTTGCTAACAGTTGGTTTCCATTGAAGTGGGTTGACCTTTGTGAAGATGGCTTTGCGTGTTTTTCCAGTTCACAGTCTCGGCACAGAAGTTAGAAGCCAATAATAAAAAATAAAAAAAACGTCATGCTTGATTTGCAGCACAGAGTCATAATGATAGTTCAGATGACATTTCAAATGTCTGGGTCAGCAAATGAGGTGTTATGTCCTGCTAAGATTGGTCAGTTAAGTCTTGAGGTAAAATAGTGTCTACACTCTCTGCCTTGTCAGAGAATTTTGATCAGAAGTTCATCTTTAGACTGGAGTCTCTCATTGGTTAAATCTTGAGTTAAAGATGTTCTTAGGTTGTGTAGTACAGCAGCCAGCTCTGCAGCTTAACTTCTGTCTAACAACTGGGACATCATTTCCGTGTAATTTATTATGTCAAACATGTAAGACTATATCTGAATTTCTTTATTTTCATAAACAAAACCTCAACTCCAAAATATGTTGTGATGCTGTTTTAGAATGTTCAATGCTTTTGCATAAGAATGCAATCCCAGCTTGGCACCCACTGAAAACAATCAAACTGTCTAGCAGCTGAAATCCTTCATCAGAAAAGAAAGAGACAACGTGTTTAGGACTCCCAAAACTGTCCTCCTCTGTTTCCAAACATTCACCACATTGTTTAAGGAAGAGGAAACAACAATGGCAGACATACCCCTGTCCCAACTTCTTCAAAACCTGCAGTGGGCATCAAATTTAAAATACACATTTTTCAGAAGACAGTAAATTTTTCTGTTTTTAATGCTCACATGTAGTTTAATCGAATGAGAGTTTAAGCATTAGAATCTATTTGATTCAACATTTTACTCAGCGCAACACAACATTTCAAAAATTGTGGTTGTATCAGGCCAATACCATAATTATCACATGATGAGGTGTAACTTAATAGTATTCATTGGAAAAACAACGGCTGTCAACAGCTCATTAACCCTTCAAATTTTCTCAAGGAAAAATAAGCAACTAACCTGTTCTTTTCCTCAGAAGTACGAGTCACGTCTACTATAAAAGGGAGTGAGAGACAGCAGGGATATGTTCCAACTCTGACCTCCCTCTGCACCACACAAAGACGCAGTCTCTACGAGAAGACAACAATGACTTCAGGTGAGGCAAAGATTACTGCACATTTCAGCACATTCAATGAGACAGGATCAGATATTTTTAACTGAAACACAGAAAAAAAGTAACTGGATTTTTTTTTTAATTCCCTGATTTTCACAGGAGAGATTCCAATCTCATTCAAACTGATCGTTGTCGAAGGTCTGAAGAATTCCCAACTAATATCAAAAACATTCACTGTGCCAACAATAGCCGGGAAGACCCTCTTTCAGTCTATGTCGTATTTGGAGCAAGGCCCTGAAAAATTTACGTAAGTGATGTAATGAAACTTCATTTGTTTACTCTTTTAACTCAATCAATAAATCAGCCAGGTGAACGGATCTTAGGGTCAGGATGTTTTTATTACACTTCCACCCAGAGTAAGTTAAGTCTGTTAAGAAATACAACAATTTTACAGCCTGCCTAACTGTTTGTTTCTGCAGTTTCCGGACCAAGAGAGCCCCCAACATTGGCCACTACATTGTGGAAGCGAGGAACATGAAGAATGAACGCCACCAGTTCTGGGAAACTCTTCTGTGCAGCCCCTCAGAGGGCATCATGCCCATCGGTAAGTAAAGATACACACTTTCTTCTAGGAGGTGCCCCAGCTCTGTTTGTAATAATGTGTAGCTTTCATATGAAAATGAACAGGAGTCAATGGCAGCTTGTATGGCACAATGGCACAGTGAGGAGATGGCATCTGATTTGGAAAAAATTTCACTCAATTTTTCATGATTAACACGGCAAAATGAGATTTTCAGCACCAAGACTCGAAGTTTAGTGCCTATGAAAAAGTCCACCTTCAGAACTCAGCTGGTAAAGATGGACAGTGTTAGCCAAAAGAAGGACATTTATTTAGATGGTTTACTTTCTACATCATGTTTTGCACTGACGGCTGGTACTGCAGCAGGATTAGACTTCAGATTCTACAACCAGAGCTTTGCACAGTAAAAGAGCAAACATTTTCTTGACTCATATTTTTTTTAATCCGTGTCATGATGAAATGTTTGGCACGTTGCGTCTTTTTTACCCCTGTGTTTATTTCCTTCCCCAGATCTCGAGTACAAGGTTAAAAGCGGTGACATTGTGTACCTGCAGTTCACTCCCATCCTGCATAATTGGTGGGAGTGACCCTGCTGAATGCATCCTCTTCAAATTACTCTGTCGCCCTTCTTTCAGTTTCAATACAAAATAAACATCTTTTCTGTCCTCTCCAATGCTGTTTGAATGAGATAAAACTGGAATTTGAGGTGCAACAAGAAAAAGAAATAAAGAATGAGAAAACCATTTTCAGTCTCAGTTTTTTTTCCTTATTTATTGCATGACTGTGTTCTTCCTTCTCTACTTACCACACATACAAGCTATAAGCACAAGCAATGTTCATTAAATGCTCACAATTGGTCCTCCTCTTATGGCTTATGTGAGTTTTTTTCATTTCTCTCCTTTTCTGATTAATAAGCCTAAAAACTCAACTATAGTCCATTTTTTAAATATTGATATGAAAATCCAGATGTCATTTTCAGCTGTCATTTTTAACATGTACACAGAATTGAGCTTACGATTAGCTCCTGAAGACCACAAAAGTCATTTCAGCTTACAGTACATCCCTTGAGTTTATCGCCATCCCTACCAGCTGACAGCTCAGTTCATTGACTTATAAGCATCCAATTGGCAAATGTCAAAACAAGATGATAATAAATGCCTTTTTATTAGTCTCCTTGAAGTCTACCTTTACACAAGTGTTGCGTTTAAGAAATCAACACAATCCCTTTGTGAATGTTGCTACCAATTGTGTTCCTCCAGTACCTTAATACACCACAGGGTGGCTCCTAAGATACACAAGCTGCAAGAGTTACATGGTCATTTTTGGTGAACTGATAATGTAGGCACTTTACAGCATGAGTGGAGCAGAAATGTTTCCAATGTGCTCATTTTTCTTGTACTTGCTGGAGCATTTTCACTGCAAAAAGATCCTCTGGTATGGTCAAACTTTCAGGTTATTGGTCAAACTTTTCCTCAGCCCCTGGAACATTTAGTGGATTTTTCTATGAACAAAAGCTTTTGATTATAATCTCATAAAAACATGTTTTTGGAAGTGGACCTGATGTAGACGGGATAACAAGGGTCAAAATCAGGAATTTAAAGTCACATTGGTCACTGTGGATAACTTAATCTGAAATAGACATTTCTGTAAAAAGGTGCAACAACAGATGCACAGACATTTATTTGCTAACATGAATGAACATATTCCAAATAGTTCCTTGTTTTTTTTTCATTAGTTTGTTTGAGCTTTTTCTTGGAAGTATCTGAAAGTTTGCAAAGGCTCCTTTTTTTCCTTTGTTTGATTCCAATGTATAGCCAATCAGGTCCAAGCCCTTCACCTCTCAGCCTGCAAAGATATCCTCTCAAACAGCATCCTAAGATCAGCGACTTGACTCTTTTTTTCTACATCTCAATTGTCTGTGACTCCAGCTTCCTTTCCAAGTTACTGAATTATAGACCAACTGAATCATGAAAGTAACTCAGACCCTTGAAACTGCAACTTGTGCTTCACTTTTTTCTTTAGTAGCCTGCACTTCTTAGATAATCTATGGTACATTGTGATGACCCTGGACCAGTTCAGTCCAGCTGTTAGGTACATTATGAAGGCCTACCTCACAGCTGGACTGGTCTGTTGCTCTGTACAGGCAGCAAATCTACTGGTTGATACAGCAAGTCTTCAACAGCATACGGAGTGCTCATGTAGTATGCTGCCTCAGGGTAATAATGAAGTCTTACACAGATTCAGTCAGCAATTCATAGGATGATGACTACTGCATGTACACACTTTACATACATGTATACTTAATACAGACACACACACACATATAATCACGTGTGTGCCACACACAAATCTAATATGCACACACTGGTGAGTCACTGTACTTTTCTAGCGAATTTTGAAAGTGAGTTTCTATTGAAGTGAGTTGACCTTTGTGAAGTTGGCTTTGGGTGTGTTTCCAGTTCATTGTCTTGGCAAAGTTGTCCTCGTGCAGCAGGGTGTTAGGACATGTTATCATGAAGATAGAAGCCAATAATGAAAAAAAACAAATTCACGTTTGAGTTCTTACACAGAGTCATAATGATAGTTCAGATGACACTTCAGATGTCTGGGTCAGCAAATGAGGTGTTATGTCCTGCTAAGATTGGTCAGTTAAGTCTTGAGGTAAAATAGTGTCTACACTCTCTGCCCTGTCAGAGAATTTTGATCAGAAGTTCATCTTTAGACTGGAGTCTCTCATTGGTTAAATCTTGAGTTAAAGATGTTCTTAGGTTGTGTAGTACAGCAGCCAGCTCTGCAGCTTAACTTCTGTCTAACAACTGGGACATCATTTCCGTGTAATTTATTATGTCAAACATGTAAGACTATATCTGAATTTCTTTATTTTCATAAACAAAACCTCAACTCCAAAATATGTTGTGATGCTGTTTTAGAATGTTCAATGCTTTTGCATAAGAATGCAATCCCAGCTTGGCACCCACTGAAAACAATCAAACTGTCTAGCAGCTGAAATCCTTCATCAGAAAAGAAAGAGACAACGTGTTTAGGACTCCCAAAACTGTCCTCCTCTGTTTCCAAACATTCACCACATTGTTTAAGGAAGAGGAAACAACAATGGCAGACATACCCCTGTCCCAACTTCTTCAAAACCTGCAGTGGGCATCAAATTTAAAATACACATTTTTCAGAAGACAGTAAATTTTTCTGTTTTTAATGCTCACATGTAGTTTAATCGAATGAGAGTTTAAGCATTAGAATCTATTTGATTCAACATTTTACTCAGCGCAACACAACATTTCAAAAATTGTGGTTGTATCAGGCCAATACCATAATTATCACATGATGAGGTGTAACTTAATAGTATTCATTGGAAAAACAACGGCTGTCAACAGCTCATTAACCCTTCAAATTTTCTCAAGGAAAAATAAGCAACTAACCTGTTCTTTTCCTCAGAAGTACGAGTCACGTCTACTATAAAAGGGAGTGAGAGACAGCAGGGATATGTTCCAACTCTGACCTCCCTCTGCACCACACAAAGACGCAGTCTCTACGAGAAGACAACAATGACTTCAGGTGAGGCAAAGATTACTGCACATTTCAGCACATTCAATGAGACAGGATCAGATATTTTTAACTGAAACACAGAAAAAAAGTAACTGGATTTTTTTTTTAATTCCCTGATTTTCACAGGAGAGATTCCAATCTCATTCAAACTGATCGTTGTCGAAGGTCTGAAGAATTCCCAACTAATATCAAAAACATTCACTGTGCCAACAATAGCCGGGAAGACCCTCTTTCAGTCTATGTCGTATTTGGAGCAAGGCCCTGAAAAATTTACGTAAGTGATGTAATGAAACTTCATTTGTTTACTCTTTTAACTCAATCAATAAATCAGCCAGGTGAACGGATCTTAGGGTCAGGATGTTTTTATTACACTTCCACCCAGAGTAAGTTAAGTCTGTTAAGAAATACAACAATTTTACAGCCTGCCTAACTGTTTGTTTCTGCAGTTTCCGGACCAAGAGAGCCCCCAACATTGGCCACTACATTGTGGAAGCGAGGAACATGAAGAATGAACGCCACCAGTTCTGGGAAACTCTTCTGTGCAGCCCCTCAGAGGGCATCATGCCCATCGGTAAGTAAAGATACACACTTTCTTCTAGGAGGTGCCCCAGCTCTGTTTGTAATAATGTGTAGCTTTCATATGAAAATGAACAGGAGTCAATGGCAGCTTGTATGGCACAATGGCACAGTGAGGAGATGGCATCTGATTTGGAAAAAATTTCACTCAATTTTTCATGATTAACACGGCAAAATGAGATTTTCAGCACCAAGACTCGAAGTTTAGTGCCTATGAAAAAGTCCAACTTCAGAACTCAGCTGGTAAAGATGGACAGTGTTAGCCAAAAGAAGGACATTTATTTAGATGGTTTACTTTCTACATCATGTTTTGCACTGACGGCTGGTACTGCAGCAGGATTAGACTTCAGATTCTACAACCAGAGCTTTGCACAGTAAAAGAGCAAAAATTTTCTTGACTCATATTTTTTTTAATCCGTGTCATGATGAAATGTTTGGCACGTTGCGTCTTTTTTACCCCTGTGTTTATTTCCTTCCCCAGATCTCGAGTACAAGGTTAAAAGCGGTGACATTGTGTACCTGCAGTTCACTCCCATCCTGCATAATTGGTGGGAGTGACCCTGCTGAATGCATCCTCTTCAAATTACTCTGTCGCCCTTCTTTCAGTTTCAATACAAAATAAACATCTTTTCTGTCCTCTCCAATGCTGTTTGAATGAGATAAAACTGGAATTTGAGGTGCAACAAGAAAAAGAAATAAAGAATGAGAAAACCATTTTCAGTCTCAGTTTTTTTTCCTTATTTATTGCATGACTGTGTTCTTCCTTCTCTACTTACCACACATACAAGCTATAAGCACAAGCAATGTTCATTAAATGCTCACAATTGGTCCTCCTCTTATGGCTTATGTGAGTTTTTTTCATTTCTCTCCTTTTCTGATTAATAAGCCTAAAAACTCAACTATAGTCCATTTTTTAAATATTGATATGAAAATCCAGATGTCATTTTCAGCTGTCATTTTTAACATGTACACAGAATTGAGCTTACGATTAGCTCCTGAAGACCACAAAAGTCATTTCAGCTTACAGTACATCCCTTGAGTTTATCGCCATCCCTACCAGCTGACAGCTCAGTTCATTGACTTATAAGCATCCAATTGGCAAATGTCAAAACAAGATGATAATAAATGCCTTTTTATTAGTCTCCTTAAGTCTACCTTTACACAAGTGTAGCGTTTAAGAAATCAACACAATCCCTTTGTGAATGTTGCTACCAATTGTGTTCCTCCAGTACCTTAATACACCACAGGGTGGCTCCTAAGATACACAAGCTGCAAGAGTTACATGGTCATTTTTGGTGAACTGATAATGTAGGCACTTTACAGCATGAGTGGAGCAGAAATGTTTCCAATGTGCTCATTTTTCTTGTACTTGCTGGAGCATTTTCACTGCAAAAAGATCCTCTGGTATGGTCAAACTTTCAGGTTATTGGTCAAACTTTTCCTCAGCCCCTGGAACATTTAGTGGATTTTTCTATGAACAAAAGCTTTTGATTATAATCTCATAAAAACATGTTTTTGGAAGTGGACCTGATGTAGACGGGATAACAAGGGTCAAAATCAGGAATTTAAAGTCACATTGGTCACTGTGGATAACTTAATCTGAAATAGACATTTCTGTAAAAAGGTGCAACAACAGATGCACAGACATTTATTTGCTAACATGAATGAACATATTCCAAATAGTTCCTTGTTTTTTTTTCATTAGTTTGTTTGAGCTTTTTCTTGGAAGTATCTGAAAGTTTGCAAAGGCTCCTTTTTTTCCTTTGTTTGATTCCAATGTATAGCCAATCAGGTCCAAGCCCTTCACCTCTCAGCCTGCAAAGATATCCTCTCAAACAGCATCCTAAGATCAGCGACTTGACTCTTTTTTTCTACATCTCAATTGTCTGTGACTCCAGCTTCCTTTCCAAGTTACTGAATTATAGACCAACTGAATCATGAAAGTAACTCAGACCCTTGAAACTGCAACTTGTGCTTCACTTTTTTCTTTAGTAGCCTGCACTTCTTAGATAATCTATGGTACATTGTGATGACCCTGGACCAGTTCAGTCCAGCTGTTAGGTACATTATGAAGGCCTACCTCACAGCTGGACTGGTCTGTTGCTCTGTACAGGCAGCAAATCTACTGGTTGATACAGCAAGTCTTCAACAGCATACGGAGTGCTCATGTAGTATGCTGCCTCAGGGTAATAATGAAGTCTTACACAGATTCAGTCAGCAATTCATAGGATGATGACTACTGCATGTACACACTTTACATACATGTATACTTAATACAGACACACACACACATATAATCACGTGTGTGCCACACACAAATCTAATATGCACACACTGGTGAGTCACTGTACTTTTCTAGCGAATTTTGAAAGTGAGTTTCTATTGAAGTGAGTTGACCTTTGTGAAGTTGGCTTTGGGTGTGTTTCCAGTTCATTGTCTTGGCAAAGTTGTCCTCGTGCAGCAGGGTGTTAGGACATGTTATCATGAAGATAGAAGCCAATAATGAAAAAAAACAAATTCACGTTTGAGTTCTTACACAGAGTCATAATGATAGTTCAGATGACACTTCAGATGTCTGGGTCAGCAAATGAGGTGTTATGTCCTGCTAAGATTGGTCAGTTAAGTCTTGAGGTAAAATAGTGTCTACACTCTCTGCCCTGTCAGAGAATTTTGATCAGAAGTTCATCTTTAGACTGGAGTCTCTCATTGGTTAAATCTTGAGTTAAAGATGTTCTTAGGTTGTGTAGTACAGCAGCCAGCTCTGCAGCTTAACTTCTGTCTAACAACTGGGACATCATTTCCGTGTAATTTATTATGTCAAACATGTAAGACTATATCTGAATTTCTTTATTTTCATAAACAAAACCTCAACTCCAAAATATGTTGTGATGCTGTTTTAGAATGTTCAATGCTTTTGCATAAGAATGCAATCCCAGCTTGGCACCCACTGAAAACAATCAAACTGTCTAGCAGCTGAAATCCTTCATCAGAAAAGAAAGAGACAACGTGTTTAGGACTCCCAAAACTGTCCTCCTCTGTTTCCAAACATTCACCACATTGTTTAAGGAAGAGGAAACAACAATGGCAGACATACCCCTGTCCCAACTTCTTCAAAACCTGCAGTGGGCATCAAATTTAAAATACACATTTTTCAGAAGACAGTAAATTTTTCTGTTTTTAATGCTCACATGTAGTTTAATCGAATGAGAGTTTAAGCATTAGAATCTATTTGATTCAACATTTTACTCAGCGCAACACAACATTTCAAAAATTGTGGTTGTATCAGGCCAATACCATAATTATCACATGATGAGGTGTAACTTAATAGTATTCATTGGAAAAACAACGGCTGTCAACAGCTCATTAACCCTTCAAATTTTCTCAAGGAAAAATAAGCAACTAACCTGTTCTTTTCCTCAGAAGTACGAGTCACGTCTACTATAAAAGGGAGTGAGAGACAGCAGGGATATGTTCCAACTCTGACCTCCCTCTGCACCACACAAAGACGCAGTCTCTACGAGAAGACAACAATGACTTCAGGTGAGGCAAAGATTACTGCACATTTCAGCACATTCAATGAGACAGGATCAGATATTTTTAACTGAAACACAGAAAAAAAGTAACTGGATTTTTTTTTTAATTCCCTGATTTTCACAGGAGAGATTCCAATCTCATTCAAACTGATCGTTGTCGAAGGTCTGAAGAATTCCCAACTAATATCAAAAACATTCACTGTGCCAACAATAGCCGGGAAGACCCTCTTTCAGTCTATGTCGTATTTGGAGCAAGGCCCTGAAAAATTTACGTAAGTGATGTAATGAAACTTCATTTGTTTACTCTTTTAACTCAATCAATAAATCAGCCAGGTGAACGGATCTTAGGGTCAGGATGTTTTTATTACACTTCCACCCAGAGTAAGTTAAGTCTGTTAAGAAATACAACAATTTTACAGCCTGCCTAACTGTTTGTTTCTGCAGTTTCCGGACCAAGAGAGCCCCCAACATTGGCCACTACATTGTGGAAGCGAGGAACATGAAGAATGAACGCCACCAGTTCTGGGAAACTCTTCTGTGCAGCCCCTCAGAGGGCATCATGCCCATCGGTAAGTAAAGATACACACTTTCTTCTAGGAGGTGCCCCAGCTCTGTTTGTAATAATGTGTAGCTTTCATATGAAAATGAACAGGAGTCAATGGCAGCTTGTATGGCACAATGGCACAGTGAGGAGATGGCATCTGATTTGGAAAAAATTTCACTCAATTTTTCATGATTAACACGGCAAAATGAGATTTTCAGCACCAAGACTCGAAGTTTAGTGCCTATGAAAAAGTCCACCTTCAGAACTCAGCTGGTAAAGATGGACAGTGTTAGCCAAAAGAAGGACTTTTATTTAGATGGTTTACTTTCTACATCATGTTTTGCACTGACGGCTGGTACTGCAGCAGGATTAGACTTCAGATTCTACAACCAGAGCTTTGCACAGTAAAAGAGCAAACATTTTCTTGACTCATATTTTTTTTAATCCGTGTCATGATGAAATGTTTGGCACGTTGCGTCTTTTTTACCCCTGTGTTTATTTCCTTCCCCAGATCTCGAGTACAAGGTTAAAAGCGGTGACATTGTGTACCTGCAGTTCACTCCCATCCTGCATCATTGGTGGGAGTGACCCTGCTGAATGCATCCTCTTCAAATTACTCTGTCGCCCTTCTTTCAGTTTCAATACAAAATAAACATCTTTTCTGTCCTCTCCAATGCTGTTTGAATGAGATAAAACTGGAATTTGAGGTGCAACAAGAAAAAGAAATAAAGAATGAGAAAACCATTTTCAGTCTCAGTTTTTTTTCCTTATTTATTGCATGACTGTGTTCTTCCTTCTCTACTTACCACACATACAAGCTATAAGCACAAGCGATGTTCATTAAATGCTCACAATTGGTCCTCCTCTTATGGCTTATGTGAGTTTTTTTCATTTCTCTCCTTTTCTGATTAATAAGCCTAAAAACTCAACTATAGTCCATTTTTTAAATATTGATATGAAAATCCAGATGTCATTTTCAGCTGTCATTTTTAACATGTACACAGAATTGAGCTTACGATTAGCTCCTGAAGACCACAAAAGTCATTTCAGCTTACAGTACATCCCTTGAGTTTATCGCCATCCCTACCAGCTGACAGCTCAGTTCATTGACTTATAAGCATCCAATTGGCAAATGTCAAAACAAGATGATAATAAATGCATTTTTATTAGTCTCTTGAAGTCTACCTTTACACAAGTGTTGCATTTAAGAAATCTACACAATCCCTTTGTGAATGTTGCTACAAATTGTGTTCCTCCAGTACCTTAATACACCACAGGGTGGCTCCTAAGATACACAAGCTGCAAGAGTTACATGGTCATTTTTGGTGAACTGATAATGTAGGCACTTTACAGCATGAGTGGAGCAGAAATGTTTCCAATGTGCTCATTTTTCTTGTACTTGCTGGAGCATTTTCATGCAAAAAGATCCTCTGGTATGGTCAAACTTTCAGGTTATTGGTCAAACTTTTCCTCAGCCCCTGGAACATTTAGTGGATTTTTCTATGAACAAAAGCTTTTGATTATAATCTCATAAAAACATGTTTTTGGAAGTGGACCTGATGTAGACGGGATAACAAGGGTCAAAATCAGGAATTTAAAGTCACATTGGTCACTGTGGATAACTTAATCTGAAATAGACATTTCTGTAAAAAGGTGCAACAACAGATGCACAGACATTTATTTGCTAACATGAATGAACATATTCCAAATAGTTCCTTGTTTTTTTTTCATTAGTTTGTTTGAGCTTTTTCTTGGAAGTATCTGAAAGTTTGCAAAGGCTCCTTTTTTTCCTTTGTTTGATTCCAATGTATAGCCAATCAGGTCCAAGCCCTTCACCTCTCAGCCTGCAAAGATATCCTCTCAAACAGCATCCTAAGATCAGCGACTTGACTCTTTTTTTCTACATCTCAATTGTCTGTGACTCCAGCTTCCTTTCCAAGTTACTGAATTATAGACCAACTGAATCATGAAAGTAACTCAGACCCTTGAAACTGCAACTTGTGCTTCACTTTTTTCTTTAGTAGCCTGCACTTCTTAGATAATCTATGGTACATTGTGATGACCCTGGACCAGTTCAGTCCAGCTGTTAGGTACATTATGAAGGCCTACCTCACAGCTGGACTGGTCTGTTGCTCTGTACAGGCAGCAAATCTACTGGTTGATACAGCAAGTCTTCAACAGCATACGGAGTGCTCATGTAGTATGCTGCCTCAGGGTAATAATGAAGTCTTACACAGATTCAGTCAGCAATTCATAGGATGATGACTACTGCATGTACACACTTTACATACATGTATACTTAATACAGACACACACACACATATAATCACGTGTGTGCCACACACAAATCTAATATGCACACACTGGTGAGTCACTGTACTTTTCTAGCGAATTTTGAAAGTGAGTTTCTATTGAAGTGAGTTGACCTTTGTGAAGTTGGCTTTGGGTGTGTTTCCAGTTCATTGTCTTGGCAAAGTTGTCCTCGTGCAGCAGGGTGTTAGGACATGTTATCATGAAGATAGAAGCCAATAATGAAAAAAAACAAATTCACGTTTGAGTTCTTACACAGAGTCATAATGATAGTTCAGATGACACTTCAGATGTCTGGGTCAGCAAATGAGGTGTTATGTCCTGCTAAGATTGGTCAGTTAAGTCTTGAGGTAAAATAGTGTCTACACTCTCTGCCCTGTCAGAGAATTTTGATCAGAAGTTCATCTTTAGACTGGAGTCTCTCATTGGTTAAATCTTGAGTTAAAGATGTTCTTAGGTTGTGTAGTACAGCAGCCAGCTCTGCAGCTTAACTTCTGTCTAACAACTGGGACATAATTTCCGTGTAATTTATTATGTCAAACATGTAAGACTATATCTGAATTTCTTTATTTTCATAAACAAAACCTCAACTCCAAAATATGTTGTGATGCTGTTTTAGAATGTTCAATGCTTTTGCATAAGAATGCAATCCCAGCTTGGCACCCACTGAAAACAATCAAACTGTCTAGCAGCTGAAATCCTTCATCAGAAAAGAAAGAGACAACGTGTTTAGGACTCCCAAAACTGTCCTCCTCTGTTTCCAAACATTCACCACATTGTTTAAGGAAGAGGAAACAACAATGGCAGACATACCCCTGTCCCAACTTCTTCAAAACCTGCAGTGGGCATCAAATTTAAAATACACATTTTTCAGAAGACAGTAAATTTTTCTGTTTTTAATGCTCACATGTAGTTTAATCGAATGAGAGTTTAAGCATTAGAATCTATTTGATTCAACATTTTACTCAGCGCAACACAACATTTCAAAAATTGTGGTTGTATCAGGCCAATACCATAATTATCACATGATGAGGTGTAACTTAATAGTATTCATTGGAAAAACAACGGCTGTCAACAGCTCATTAACCCTTCAAATTTTCTCAAGGAAAAATAAGCAACTAACCTGTTCTTTTCCTCAGAAGTACGAGTCACGTCTACTATAAAAGGGAGTGAGAGACAGCAGGGATATGTTCCAACTCTGACCTCCCTCTGCACCACACAAAGACGCAGTCTCTACGAGAAGACAACAATGACTTCAGGTGAGGCAAAGATTACTGCACATTTCAGCACATTCAATGAGACAGGATCAGATATTTTTAACTGAAACACAGAAAAAAAGTAACTGGATTTTTTTTTTAATTCCCTGATTTTCACAGGAGAGATTCCAATCTCATTCAAACTGATCGTTGTCGAAGGTCTGAAGAATTCCCAACTAATATCAAAAACATTCACTGTGCCAACAATAGCCGGGAAGACCCTCTTTCAGTCTATGTCGTATTTGGAGCAAGGCCCTGAAAAATTTACGTAAGTGATGTAATGAAACTTCATTTGTTTACTCTTTTAACTCAATCAATAAATCAGCCAGGTGAACGGATCTTAGGGTCAGGATGTTTTTATTACACTTCCACCCAGAGTAAGTTAAGTCTGTTAAGAAATACAACAATTTTACAGCCTGCCTAACTGTTTGTTTCTGCAGTTTCCGGACCAAGAGAGCCCCCAACATTGGCCACTACATTGTGGAAGCGAGGAACATGAAGAATGAACGCCACCAGTTCTGGGAAACTCTTCTGTGCAGCCCCTCAGAGGGCATCATGCCCATCGGTAAGTAAAGATACACACTTTCTTCTAGGAGGTGCCCCAGCTCTGTTTGTAATAATGTGTAGCTTTCATATGAAAATGAACAGGAGTCAATGGCAGCTTGTATGGCACAATGGCACAGTGAGGAGATGGCATCTGATTTGGAAAAAATTTCACTCAATTTTTCATGATTAACACGGCAAAATGAGATTTTCAGCACCAAGACTCGAAGTTTAGTGCCTATGAAAAAGTCCACCTTCAGAACTCAGCTGGTAAAGATGGACAGTGTTAGCCAAAAGAAGGACTTTTATTTAGATGGTTTACTTTCTACATCATGTTTTGCACTGACGGCTGGTACTGCAGCAGGATTAGACTTCAGATTCTACAACCAGAGCTTTGCACAGTAAAAGAGCAAACATTTTCTTGACTCATATTTTTTTTAATCCGTGTCATGATGAAATGTTTGGCACGTTGCGTCTTTTTTACCCCTGTGTTTATTTCCTTCCCCAGATCTCGAGTACAAGGTTAAAAGCGGTGACATTGTGTACCTGCAGTTCACTCCCATCCTGCATAATTGGTGGGAGTGACCCTGCTGAATGCATCCTCTTCAAATTACTCTGTCGCCCTTCTTTCAGTTTCAATACAAAATAAACATCTTTTCTGTCCTCTCCAATGCTGTTTGAATGAGATAAAACTGGAATTTGAGGTGCAACAAGAAAAAGAAATAAAGAATGAGAAAACCATTTTCAGTCTCAGTTTTTTTTCCTTATTTATTGCATGACTGTGTTCTTCCTTCTCTACTTACCACACATACAAGCTATAAGCACAAGCAATGTTCATTAAATGCTCACAATTGGTCCTCCTCTTATGGCTTATGTGAGTTTTTTTCATTTCTCTCCTTTTCTGATTAATAAGCCTAAAAACTCAACTATAGTCCATTTTTTAAATATTGATATGAAAATCCAGATGTCATTTTCAGCTGTCATTTTTAACATGTACACAGAATTGAGCTTACGATTAGCTCCTGAAGACCACAAAAGTCATTTCAGCTTACAGTACATCCCTTGAGTTTATCGCCATCCCTACCAGCTGACAGCTCAGTTCATTGACTTATAAGCATCCAATTGGCAAATGTCAAAACAAGATGATAATAAATGCCTTTTTATTAGTCTCCTTAAGTCTACCTTTACACAAGTGTAGCGTTTAAGAAATCAACACAATCCCTTTGTGAATGTTGCTACCAATTGTGTTCCTCCAGTACCTTAATACACCACAGGGTGGCTCCTAAGATACACAAGCTGCAAGAGTTACATGGTCATTTTTGGTGAACTGATAATGTAGGCACTTTACAGCATGAGTGGAGCAGAAATGTTTCCAATGTGCTCATTTTTCTTGTACTTGCTGGAGCATTTTCACTGCAAAAAGATCCTCTGGTATGGTCAAACTTTCAGGTTATTGGTCAAACTTTTCCTCAGCCCCTGGAACATTTAGTGGATTTTTCTATGAACAAAAGCTTTTGATTATAATCTCATAAAAACATGTTTTTGGAAGTGGACCTGATGTAGACGGGATAACAAGGGTCAAAATCAGGAATTTAAAGTCACATTGGTCACTGTGGATAACTTAATCTGAAATAGACATTTCTGTAAAAAGGTGCAACAACAGATGCACAGACATTTATTTGCTAACATGAATGAACATATTCCAAATAGTTCCTTGTTTTTTTTTCATTAGTTTGTTTGAGCTTTTTCTTGGAAGTATCTGAAAGTTTGCAAAGGCTCCTTTTTTTCCTTTGTTTGATTCCAATGTATAGCCAATCAGGTCCAAGCCCTTCACCTCTCAGCCTGCAAAGATATCCTCTCAAACAGCATCCTAAGATCAGCGACTTGACTCTTTTTTTCTACATCTCAATTGTCTGTGACTCCAGCTTCCTTTCCAAGTTACTGAATTATAGACCAACTGAATCATGAAAGTAACTCAGACCCTTGAAACTGCAACTTGTGCTTCACTTTTTTCTTTAGTAGCCTGCACTTCTTAGATAATCTATGGTACATTGTGATGACCCTGGACCAGTTCAGTCCAGCTGTTAGGTACATTATGAAGGCCTACCTCACAGCTGGACTGGTCTGTTGCTCTGTACAGGCAGCAAATCTACTGGTTGATACAGCAAGTCTTCAACAGCATACGGAGTGCTCATGTAGTATGCTGCCTCAGGGTAATAATGAAGTCTTACACAGATTCAGTCAGCAATTCATAGGATGATGACTACTGCATGTACACACTTTACATACATGTATACTTAATACAGACACACACACACATATAATCACGTGTGTGCCACACACAAATCTAATATGCACACACTGGTGAGTCACTGTACTTTTCTAGCGAATTTTGAAAGTGAGTTTCTATTGAAGTGAGTTGACCTTTGTGAAGTTGGCTTTGGGTGTGTTTCCAGTTCATTGTCTTGGCAAAGTTGTCCTCGTGCAGCAGGGTGTTAGGACATGTTATCATGAAGATAGAAGCCAATAATGAAAAAAAACAAATTCACGTTTGAGTTCTTACACAGAGTCATAATGATAGTTCAGATGACACTTCAGATGTCTGGGTCAGCAAATGAGGTGTTATGTCCTGCTAAGATTGGTCAGTTAAGTCTTGAGGTAAAATAGTGTCTACACTCTCTGCCCTGTCAGAGAATTTTGATCAGAAGTTCATCTTTAGACTGGAGTCTCTCATTGGTTAAATCTTGAGTTAAAGATGTTCTTAGGTTGTGTAGTACAGCAGCCAGCTCTGCAGCTTAACTTCTGTCTAACAACTGGGACATAATTTCCGTGTAATTTATTATGTCAAACATGTAAGACTATATCTGAATTTCTTTATTTTCATAAACAAAACCTCAACTCCAAAATATGTTGTGATGCTGTTTTAGAATGTTCAATGCTTTTGCATAAGAATGCAATCCCAGCTTGGCACCCACTGAAAACAATCAAACTGTCTAGCAGCTGAAATCCTTCATCAGAAAAGAAAGAGACAACGTGTTTAGGACTCCCAAAACTGTCCTCCTCTGTTTCCAAACATTCACCACATTGTTTAAGGAAGAGGAAACAACAATGGCAGACATACCCCTGTCCCAACTTCTTCAAAACCTGCAGTGGGCATCAAATTTAAAATACACATTTTTCAGAAGACAGTAAATTTTTCTGTTTTTAATGCTCACATGTAGTTTAATCGAATGAGAGTTTAAGCATTAGAATCTATTTGATTCAACATTTTACTCAGCGCAACACAACATTTCAAAAATTGTGGTTGTATCAGGCCAATACCATAATTATCACATGATGAGGTGTAACTTAATAGTATTCATTGGAAAAACAACGGCTGTCAACAGCTCATTAACCCTTCAAATTTTCTCAAGGAAAAATAAGCAACTAACCTGTTCTTTTCCTCAGAAGTACGAGTCACGTCTACTATAAAAGGGAGTGAGAGACAGCAGGGATATGTTCCAACTCTGACCTCCCTCTGCACCACACAAAGACGCAGTCTCTACGAGAAGACAACAATGACTTCAGGTGAGGCAAAGATTACTGCACATTTCAGCACATTCAATGAGACAGGATCAGATATTTTTAACTGAAACACAGAAAAAAAGTAACTGGATTTTTTTTTTAATTCCCTGATTTTCACAGGAGAGATTCCAATCTCATTCAAACTGATCGTTGTCGAAGGTCTGAAGAATTCCCAACTAATATCAAAAACATTCACTGTGCCAACAATAGCCGGGAAGACCCTCTTTCAGTCTATGTCGTATTTGGAGCAAGGCCCTGAAAAATTTACGTAAGTGATGTAATGAAACTTCATTTGTTTACTCTTTTAACTCAATCAATAAATCAGCCAGGTGAACGGATCTTAGGGTCAGGATGTTTTTATTACACTTCCACCCAGAGTAAGTTAAGTCTGTTAAGAAATACAACAATTTTACAGCCTGCCTAACTGTTTGTTTCTGCAGTTTCCGGACCAAGAGAGCCCCCAACATTGGCCACTACATTGTGGAAGCGAGGAACATGAAGAATGAACGCCACCAGTTCTGGGAAACTCTTCTGTGCAGCCCCTCAGAGGGCATCATGCCCATCGGTAAGTAAAGATACACACTTTCTTCTAGGAGGTGCCCCAGCTCTGTTTGTAATAATGTGTAGCTTTCATATGAAAATGAACAGGAGTCAATGGCAGCTTGTATGGCACAATGGCACAGTGAGGAGATGGCATCTGATTTGGAAAAAATTTCACTCAATTTTTCATGATTAACACGGCAAAATGAGATTTTCAGCACCAAGACTCGAAGTTTAGTGCCTATGAAAAAGTCCACCTTCAGAACTCAGCTGGTAAAGATGGACAGTGTTAGCCAAAAGAAGGACTTTTATTTAGATGGTTTACTTTCTACATCATGTTTTGCACTGACGGCTGGTACTGCAGCAGGATTAGACTTCAGATTCTACAACCAGAGCTTTGCACAGTAAAAGAGCAAACATTTTCTTGACTCATATTTTTTTTAATCCGTGTCATGATGAAATGTTTGGCACGTTGCGTCTTTTTTACCCCTGTGTTTATTTCCTTCCCCAGATCTCGAGTACAAGGTTAAAAGCGGTGACATTGTGTACCTGCAGTTCACTCCCATCCTGCATAATTGGTGGGAGTGACCCTGCTGAATGCATCCTCTTCAAATTACTCTGTCGCCCTTCTTTCAGTTTCAATACAAAATAAACATCTTTTCTGTCCTCTCCAATGCTGTTTGAATGAGATAAAACTGGAATTTGAGGTGCAACAAGAAAAAGAAATAAAGAATGAGAAAACCATTTTCAGTCTCAGTTTTTTTTCCTTATTTATTGCATGACTGTGTTCTTCCTTCTCTACTTACCACACATACAAGCTATAAGCACAAGCAATGTTCATTAAATGCTCACAATTGGTCCTCCTCTTATGGCTTATGTGAGTTTTTTTCATTTCTCTCCTTTTCTGATTAATAAGCCTAAAAACTCAACTATAGTCCATTTTTTAAATATTGATATGAAAATCCAGATGTCATTTTCAGCTGTCATTTTTAACATGTACACAGAATTGAGCTTACGATTAGCTCCTGAAGACCACAAAAGTCATTTCAGCTTACAGTACATCCCTTGAGTTTATCGCCATCCCTACCAGCTGACAGCTCAGTTCATTGACTTACAAGCATCCAATTGGCAAATGTCAAAACAAGATGATAATAAATGCCTTTTTATTAGTCTCTTGAAGTCTACCTTTACACAAGTGTTGCATTTAAGAAATCTACACAATCCCTTTGTGAATGTTGCTACCAATTGTGTTCCTCCAGTACCTTAATACACCACAGGGTGGCTCCTAAGATACACAAGCTGCAAGAGTTACATGGTCATTTTTGGTGAACTGATAATGTAGGCACTTTACAGCATGAGTGGAGCAGAAATGTTTCCAATGTGCTCATTTTTATTGTACTTGCTGGAGCATTTTCACTGCAAAAAGATCCTCTGGTATGGTCAAACTTTCAGGTTATTGGTCAAACTTTTCCTCAGCCCCTGGAACATTTAGTGGATTTTTCTATGAACAAAAGCTTTTGATTATAATCTCATAAAAACATGTTTTTGGAAGTGGACCTGATGTAGACGGGATAACAAGGGTCAAAATCAGGAATTTAAAGTCACATTGGTCACTGTGGATAACTTAATCTGAAATAGACATTTCTGTAAAAAGGTGCAACAACAGATGCACAGACATTTATTTGCTAACTTGAATGAACATATTCCAAATAGTTCCTTGTTTTTTTTTCATTAGTTTGTTTGAGCTTTTTCTTGGAAGTATCTGAAAGTTTGCAAAGGCTCCTTTTTTTCCTTTGTTTGATTCCATTGTATAGCCAATCAGGTCCAAGCCCTTCACCTCTCAGCCTGCAAAGATATCCTCTCAAACAGCATCCTAAGATCAGCGACTTGACTCTTTTTTTCTACATCTCAATTGTCTGTGACTCCAGCCTCCTTTCCAAGTTACTGAATTATAGACCAACTGAATCATGAAAGTAACTCAGACCCTTGAAACTGCAACTTGTGCTTCACTTTTTTCTTTAGTAGCCTGCACTTCTTAGATAATCTATGGTACATTGTGATGACCCTGGACCAGTTCAGTCCAGCTGTTAGGTACATTATGAAGGCCTACCTCACAGCTGGACTGGTCTGTTGCTCTGTACAGGCAGCAAATCTACTGGTTGATACAGCAAGTCTTCAACAGCATACGGAGTGCTCATGTAGTATGCTGCCTCAGGGTAATAATGAAGTCTTACACAGATTCAGTCAGCAATTCATAGGATGATGACTACTGCATGTACACACTTTACATACATGTATACTTAATACAGACACACACACACATATAATCACGTGTGTGCCACACACAAATCTAATATGCACACACTGGTGAGTCACTGTACTTTTCTAGCGAATTTTGAACGTGAGTTTCTATTGAAGTGAGTTGACCTTTGTGAAGTTGGCTTTGGGTGTGTTTCCAGTTCATTGTCTTGGCAAAGTTGTCCTCGTGCAGCAGGGTGTTAGGACATGTTATCATGAAGATAGAAGCCAATAATGAAAAAAAACAAATTCACGTTTGAGTTCTTACACAGAGTCATAATGATAGTTCAGATGACACTTCAGATGTCTGGGTCAGCAAATGAGGTGTTATGTCCTGCTAAGATTGGTCAGTTAAGTCTTGAGGTAAAATAGTGTCTACACTCTCTGCCCTGTCAGAGAATTTTGATCAGAAGTTCATCTTTAGACTGGAGTCTCTCATTGGTTAAATCTTGAGTTAAAGATGTTCTTAGGTTGTGTAGTACAGCAGCCAGCTCTGCAGCTTAACTTCTGTCTAACAACTGGGACATAATTTCCGTGTAATTTATTATGTCAAACATGTAAGACTATATCTGAATTTCTTTATTTTCATAAACAAAACCTCAACTCCAAAATATGTTGTGATGCTGTTTTAGAATGTTCAATGCTTTTGCATAAGAATGCAATCCCAGCTTGGCACCCACTGAAAACAATCAAACTGTCTAGCAGCTGAAATCCTTCATCAGAAAAGAAAGAGACAACGTGTTTAGGACTCCCAAAACTGTCCTCCTCTGTTTCCAAACATTCACCACATTGTTTAAGGAAGAGGAAACAACAATGGCAGACATACCCCTGTCCCAACTTCTTCAAAACCTGCAGTGGGCATCAAATTTAAAATACACATTTTTCAGAAGACAGTAAATTTTTCTGTTTTTAATGCTCACATGTAGTTTAATCGAATGAGAGTTTAAGCATTAGAATCTATTTGATTCAACATTTTACTCAGCGCAACACAACATTTCAAAAATTGTGGTTGTATCAGGCCAATACCATAATTATCACATGATGAGGTGTAACTTAATAGTATTCATTGGAAAAACAACGGCTGTCAACAGCTCATTAACCCTTCAAATTTTCTCAAGGAAAAATAAGCAACTAACCTGTTCTTTTCCTCAGAAGTACGAGTCACGTCTACTATAAAAGGGAGTGAGAGACAGCAGGGATATGTTCCAACTCTGACCTCCCTCTGCACCACACAAAGACGCAGTCTCTACGAGAAGACAACAATGACTTCAGGTGAGGCAAAGATTACTGCACATTTCAGCACATTCAATGAGACAGGATCAGATATTTTTAACTGAAACACAGAAAAAAAGTAACTGGATTTTTTTTTTAATTCCCTGATTTTCACAGGAGAGATTCCAATCTCATTCAAACTGATCGTTGTCGAAGGTCTGAAGAATTCCCAACTAATATCAAAAACATTCACTGTGCCAACAATAGCCGGGAAGACCCTCTTTCAGTCTATGTCGTATTTGGAGCAAGGCCCTGAAAAATTTACGTAAGTGATGTAATGAAACTTCATTTGTTTACTCTTTTAACTCAATCAATAAATCAGCCAGGTGAACGGATCTTAGGGTCAGGATGTTTTTATTACACTTCCACCCAGAGTAAGTTAAGTCTGTTAAGAAATACAACAATTTTACAGCCTGCCTAACTGTTTGTTTCTGCAGTTTCCGGACCAAGAGAGCCCCCAACATTGGCCACTACATTGTGGAAGCGAGGAACATGAAGAATGAACGCCACCAGTTCTGGGAAACTCTTCTGTGCAGCCCCTCAGAGGGCATCATGCCCATCGGTAAGTAAAGATACACACTTTCTTCTAGGAGGTGCCCCAGCTCTGTTTGTAATAATGTGTAGCTTTCATATGAAAATGAACAGGAGTCAATGGCAGCTTGTATGGCACAATGGCACAGTGAGGAGATGGCATCTGATTTGGAAAAAATTTCACTCAATTTTTCATGATTAACACGGCAAAATGAGATTTTCAGCACCAAGACTCGAAGTTTAGTGCCTATGAAAAAGTCCACCTTCAGAACTCAGCTGGTAAAGATGGACAGTGTTAGCCAAAAGAAGGACATTTATTTAGATGGTTTACTTTCTACATCATGTTTTGCACTGACGGCTGGTACTGCAGCAGGATTAGACTTCAGATTCTACAACCAGAGCTTTGCACAGTAAAAGAGCAAACATTTTCTTGACTCATATTTTTTTTAATCCGTGTCATGATGAAATGTTTGGCACGTTGCGTCTTTTTTACCCCTGTGTTTATTTCCTTCCCCAGATCTCGAGTACAAGGTTAAAAGCGGTGACATTGTGTACCTGCAGTTCACTCCCATCCTGCATAATTGGTGGGAGTGACCCTGCTGAATGCATCCTCTTCAAATTACTCTGTCGCCCTTCTTTCAGTTTCAATACAAAATAAACATCTTTTCTGTCCTCTCCAATGCTGTTTGAATGAGATAAAACTGGAATTTGAGGTGCAACAAGAAAAAGAAATAAAGAATGAGAAAACCATTTTCAGTCTCAGTTTTTTTTCCTTATTTATTGCATGACTGTGTTCTTCCTTCTCTACTTACCACACATACAAGCTATAAGCACAAGCAATGTTCATTAAATGCTCACAATTGGTCCTCCTCTTATGGCTTATGTGAGTTTTTTTCATTTCTCTCCTTTTCTGATTAATAAGCCTAAAAACTCAACTATAGTCCATTTTTTAAATATTGATATGAAAATCCAGATGTCATTTTCAGCTGTCATTTTTAACATGTACACAGAATTGAGCTTACGATTAGCTCCTGAAGACCACAAAAGTCATTTCAGCTTACAGTACATCCCTTGAGCTTATCGCCATCCCTACCAGCTGACAGCTCAGTTCATTGACTTACAAGCATCCAATTGGCAAATGTCAAAACAAGATGATAATTAATGCCTTTTTATTAGTCTCTTGAAGTCTACCTTTACACAAGTGTTGCATTTAAGAAATCTACACAATCCCTTTGTGAATGTTGCTACCAATTGTGTTCCTCCAGTACCTTAATACACCACAGGGTGGCTCCTAAGATACACAAGCTGCAAGAGTTACATGGTCATTTTTGGTGAACTGATAATGTAGGCACTTTACAGCATGAGTGGAGCAGAAATGTTTCCAATGTGCTCATTTTTATTGTACTTGCTGGAGCATTTTCACTGCAAAAAGATCCTCTGGTATGGTCAAACTTTCAGGTTATTGGTCAAACTTTTCCTCAGCCCCTGGAACATTTAGTGGATTTTTCTATGAACAAAAGCTTTTGATTATAATCTCATAAAAACATGTTTTTGGAAGTGGACCTGATGTAGACGGGATAACAAGGGTCAAAATCAGGAATTTAAAGTCACATTGGTCACTGTGGATAACTTAATCTGAAATAGACATTTCTGTAAAAAGGTGCAACAACAGATGCACAGACATTTATTTGCTAACATGAATGAACATATTCCAAATAGTTCCTTGTTTTTTTTTCATTAGTTTGTTTGAGCTTTTTCTTGGAAGTATCTGAAAGTTTGCAAAGGCTCCTTTTTTTCCTTTGTTTGATTCCATTGTATAGCCAATCAGGTCCAAGCCCTTCACCTCTCAGCCTGCAAAGATATCCTCTCAAACAGCATCCTAAGATCAGCGACTTGACTCTTTTTTTCTACATCTCAATTGTCTGTGACTCCAGCTTCCTTTCCAAGTTACTGAATTATAGACCAACTGAATCATGAAAGTAACTCAGACCCTTGAAACTGCAACTTGTGCTTCACTTTTTTCTTTAGTAGCCTGCACTTCTTAGATAATCTATGGTACATTGTGATGACCCTGGACCAGTTCAGTCCAGCTGTTAGGTACATTATGAAGGCCTACCTCACAGCTGGACTGGTCTGTTGCTCTGTACAGGCAGCAAATCTACTGGTTGATACAGCAAGTCTTCAACAGCATACGGAGTGCTCATGTAGTATGCTGCCTCAGGGTAATAATGAAGTCTTACACAGATTCAGTCAGCAATTCATAGGATGATGACTACTGCATGTACACACTTTACATACATGTATACTTAATACAGACACACACACACATATAATCACGTGTGTGCCACACACAAATCTAATATGCACACACTGGTGAGTCACTGTACTTTTCTAGCGAATTTTGAAAGTGAGTTTCTATTGAAGTGAGTTGACCTTTGTGAAGTTGGCTTTGGGTGTGTTTCCAGTTCATTGTCTTGGCAAAGTTGTCCTCGTGCAGCAGGGTGTTAGGACATGTTATCATGAAGATAGAAGCCAATAATGAAAAAAAACAAATTCACGTTTGAGTTCTTACACAGAGTCATAATGATAGTTCAGATGACACTTCAGATGTCTGGGTCAGCAAATGAGGTGTTATGTCCTGCTAAGATTGGTCAGTTAAGTCTTGAGGTAAAATAGTGTCTACACTCTCTGCCCTGTCAGAGAATTTTGATCAGAAGTTCATCTTTAGACTGGAGTCTCTCATTGGTTAAATCTTGAGTTAAAGATGTTCTTAGGTTGTGTAGTACAGCAGCCAGCTCTGCAGTTTAACTTCTGTCTTACAACTGGGACATAATTTCCGTGTAATTTATTATGTCAAACATGTAAGACTAAATCTAAATTTCTTTATTTTCATAAATACAACCTCAACTCCAAAATATGTTGTGATGCTGTTTTAGAAAGTTCAATGTTAAATACGATATTTTGATGGCTTCCAGATCATTTAAAGCCTGTTATATTATGAAAATAGGGTAAAGATAACATGTCAGGTGTTGAAATTGACGATCTTTGTTGTCTACAGATAGGTCAGGAAGACCAGGCCTTTTTGTCATGTGGGTAAGTTGTCACATTGCAATTATCTCTGCCACAAGAGGGCGCAACTAAACAGTGGATTACTAGTTTTATTCCTTTACATGGTCAGGGGTTGTGTCCTGTCTGAGGAGAGAAGAGAAGAGGAGAGCACATTGTGAGCTGAGATGAGTGCCAATTAACCATTTCGCACAACCCAAAGTAAAAAATTGTAACTTCATACATTTCAAAATAAGCTTCTTCCAGATAAAAATCCCAGCAGTGATACATGTGGACTTGTAAAAGAAGAGATTAAGGCATCCTGTCATACCTCAGTCATTGTCCTGTTTTAAGATAACTTTATAATAGAATTAGCAAACATGGTAGTTTGGGGCAACACGTCTCAGTCATTTTGGGGTTAGTTGTCACATGTTTAAAAGGGATTAAAATAAACATAGAGTCTGCTTGTCAGCAGTTGTGATATTGAAACTTTGACTTTATTTTCACAGAAAAAAAGAGTGGTTTAAAGGAGAGGAGAAAGCAAGAAATCATGGTCAGGGTTTACCAATGAAAAACTGAATGTGGACTTTGTCTTTTCAGGTAGACATTTTTAAAAAAATGCAAACACCCACTGAAAACAATCAAACTGTCTAGCAGCTGAAATCCTTCATCAGAAAAGATAGCAAAAAGACCCTCTGGTATGGTCAAACTTTCAGGTTATTGGTCAAACTTTTTCTCTTTTCCCCCGGAAAATTTACTGAATTTTTCTATAAACAAAAGCTTTTGATTATAATCTCATAAAAACATGTTTTTCAAGTGGACCTGATTTGGACGGGATAACAAGGATCAAAATCAGGAGGTGAAGGTCACCTTGGTCACTGTGGATAACTAAATCTAAAATAGACATTTCTATACAATGTGCGTTTACAGATACACAGGCACTTATTTGCTGACTTGAATGAACATATTCCACATGGTCTTTTGTTTTTTTTTTGTTTTTTTGTTTCTTAGTTTGTTTGAACTTTTTCTTGGAAATATCTGAAAATTTTCAAAAGGCTCATCTTTTCTTCTGTTTGATTTCATTGTACAGCCAATCAGGTCCAAGCCTGCACTTCTTAGATAATGTACAGTACAATGTGATGTGATTTGTGACAACAGGGAAACAGACATTCTTGATCTGAATTTTTGGGCTTTTACTTCCTCAGTATGACTCCTCATCACTGGCATTTGTGAGCCATCTGATGATTCACTTTAAAAAGATTTGTTGAAGTCCTTCCTAAATGAACAGGTTTTGTTGTCTTGAAAACGATTTCAGTCATCAAGTCAAACACACCCTTTTTCGTGAAGAACAATGACAAGCATTCAAAAGCTCTAACGAAAGTTGCAGATGGTTTTGGTTTTGGTTTTGATTGAAGAGGGTTGGCCTTTGTTGAGTTTGCTTTGGGTGTTTTTCCAGTTCACAGTTTTCCTTGTACAGCAGAATGTTAGGACATGCTAACTTGAAGATAGAAGCAAATAATAATAATAAAAAAAAAAATCATAGTTGAGTTGCAGCACAGAGTCATAGTTAGTTCAGATGGTTCAGATGACACTTTAGATGTCTGGGTCAGAAAATTAGGTGTTATGTCCTGTTGAGATTGGTCAAATGAGTCTCAAGACATGGAAAATAGTGTCTACACTCTCTGCCCTGTCAGAGAATTTTGATTTAAAGATGTTCTTAGGTTGTGTAGTACAACAGCCATCATTCATCATTTATAATGTCAAAAAATGAAAGGCTACATCTAAAGCTTTTTCATTTTCATAAATACTACCTCAACTCCAAAAAAAAGTTGTGATGCTGTTTTAATGATTGACGATCTTTTGCAAAAAAGATTTTGATAGCTTCTAAATCATTTAAAGCATGTTATGAAAATAGTGAAAAGACAACATGTAAGGTATTGAAATTGAAGAACTTTGTTGTCTTGAGATATGTATATGTTTGTTTTAAATTTGTTACAAGCAACACAACTTAAAAAAGTTTGATTAGTGGCAACAAAAACCTGAAAAGTTGTTCTAATGTTTGAAAAGGAATCTGTTGACTCTGTTGTGGAAATCACTACATGGACTCAAAATTACTTCCAAATACAGTGTCTGTGAACACAACCTCCTTTCATCGCATTCAATTCAATTTTAAACTGTACCATGCAAGGAGAAAACCATATTGCTAATACCACAGCTTCACTGTATGTGACCTAATTCAAGATAGACTGAGTCTAAGTGGAAAAATGTCCTGTAGTCTGACGAGTGAAAATTTGACATTCTTCTTGGAAATCATGGAATCTGTGTCCCCCCGAAAAAGAGGAGGGACCTCCCAGCTCTGTATCAGTATTCAGCTCAAAAGTTACAAGCTGGGATGGTATGGAGATTCATAACTGCCCACAGCATGGGTGACTTACACATCTGACAAAGCATCATTAATGCTGAGCAGTACATAGGGGTTAAAGAGCAACATATGCTACCGTATGGACTTTGTCTTTTCAGGTAGACATTTTTATCGTAAAAATGCAATC